TGCCCTCACGAGACTCCCCATCTGGTGGTAGGGACATCACAGGCATCAAGTAAACAGGCAGCAAGGTAATTTCGGATTGTGATGAAAAGCTATGGGGTCAGGAAGGTGCCTCAGAGAAGGGGAGCGATGAGGAGGAAGCGGGGAAGGCAACCTCGGAGCAGAGTACTTCAGGGGAAGGTAAGATTTGTGTAGCCCAGGGGAGAGTTCAGAGTCTCAGAGGGGTCTGTGGCCCCCAAACAAGGAAGAGGAGCTCAAGGTCTGGTTGCATTTTCTGCATTCTACTTGGGCATGATGGCAGGGAGGGCGCTAACAACAGCTCATAATAGCTCTGGGTAACTTGGGTGTGGGTTTGTTCATTGAGTATCTTTATTTTTTCTAACCCTCACTCATCCCCATTCAGTGTTCTTGCTAAGAGAAGCTTCAAGGAGATTTTTTTCTGATTTTCTTAGTTTTTTTCTCCCCGGCTTTACCAGAGCACACTTGGGGCATTCCCCACACACCCTTCTCCCACCCCACCACCATTTTTTGGACACCAAATGATATAACATTGGTTTCATTCTTACACTGCGTTTCAGAAAGGTTTTTTTATTATGCATTTATTCAACAAGTAATTATATTAAGCACCTACTGTGTGCCAGTGCATGTTCAGAGCCCAAAATGGGGCCCACCATGGAAAGTACTAGCACTTGTTGGTATACAGGTTAGCTATTAGCCTCCTTCTTGATTTAATGGTAATTTCTTTTTTTTTTTTCCCTAACATTTTCCTTTTGTCTTTTTTTTTTTTCAGCTGCCCATATTTTAAAATAAGTTTGAAGTTTGTGTATTGGGTAATTTTAATCATTCTGGACAAGACTGCTGTGTAAGGGGGAAGGGATAATGGATCGATGCCTGCTCTGTGCCTCTGGAAGGTTGATTTTAATATCAAAATTCTAACCATGTATAAAAGTGAACAACAACTATAAAGCCAATATACCTGTCACCTGAATGACATAGTTATCCAGATTTTGTGACACTTGCTGCATTTATTTCACTGTCCCTTTTTTTTTTTAAAGATTAATTTATTTATTTATAAAGCACTGGGTACATTCAGAAGCATGGGGGGGTGAGAGAATTCACCAGAGACAGAGCAGGGAATAGAACAGGCAGACTGACGAAATACACTGCTGAGAGGAGCAGCGGGCGCAGCAGGAGAGGTCTGTTGCGCCCTGTGGGACCCTTGCTGGGGGCCGGGGATTGAACCAGCACTGCAGAGGCTGCAGGCAGCTTCGCAGCCCAGTGCTCAACCACTGCACCACCAGGGGAGGCCCCCTTTTTGTGTTTTTGCCAAGCATTTTAAAGCTTTGCCACTCAGCATTGGGTATGGGGAGGACAGCCTCCCAGGAGCACAAGCTTAGTCTTACTCCCGGAGCTGCTGATCAGCATCTGTATTCTTTTTTTTTTAATAATTTATTTATTTATATATATTTTACATCATTGTTCATTTTTGCACAATGTTTTCTTTCTCCTCTCAGCTGTAGTCCCGGTAAAATTCCCATCACCAAGTCACCCGTGCACCCGTGCACCCTCACCATAGGGGTCAAAACGGGAGGGAAGAGCACAAGAACCTGTATTCTAACGAGAGAGCTGAATGATTCATTCACATGTTAAGGTTTCAGAAGTGTTATTTTAAAGCGAATCCCGAACATCCTGTCATTTCACTCCTCAAACGTCAGCACCTACTTCTGAAGCACAGGGCCCTGTGTGCTCGATACACAGCCACGAGGCCCTCAGCCCCAAACCAGGGCAGTTGTAGTTCCTCTGTCACCCTCGCCACTTCCCATCTCCCTGACTGCCCCCAAGTGTTTTTTTTTTTGTTGTTTGTTTGTTTGTTTTAATTTATGCATGCAAGAACTGGGGTGTAGGCCAGAGGTGGGGAGGGGTGGTAAGAGGAGACAGAGCGGGGAGCAGATCAGGCAGATCTACTGAAATACACTGCTGAGGGGAGCAGCAGGTGAGACACGAGAGGTCTGGGGTGCCATGTGGGTCACCTCCCTCGCCAGGGATCAAACTCATGCTGTAGTAGCTGCATATAGCTTGGTAGCACTGAGACTTAATCCCTTGCGCCAGGCAGGCGCCCAAGTGTTTTTGGTGTTTAGTTTGTTCAGATCAAGATCCAAAGAAGCTCTACACTTTACACAAAAAAACTCTTGCTAATTTATAAATATATATATATATATATATATAAAACAATGGGTAATGTTTATGCATAGGCTGCAAAAAACTTGTAATAAGAAGCTTGATCTCACTCATCATTAAAAATTATTTTGCATTTTCAAGGATTTTTGTAGAGAAAGTCTGGGGCAGTGTCTGTAATGTGTTTACATGATGAGATACTCCTAAAACAGGAATAAAGTTGTCTGTGCATGGTCAGTTCGAGCAGTGCTGTGTGGAGAGAGACCTTCTCCGAGCCTTTTGTTGGGTCATGAGCGGACACAGCTCAGTGAGGAGTAACCTGTCAATATCAATTTCCCCCAAAAAATTTTAATGAAAAATCTCAAACTTACAGAAAAGTTGAAAAAGTTAAGCAATGGACACACAGATTTTATATTAATAGTTGTCAATGTTTTGTTATATTTGCATCATCACACAAATAGATGTGATATATAGAGGGTGTTTGTCCTCCCATGTGTGCACGTATCTCCATCCATCAAGGTTGCCTTATATTTTGACATTTCAGAGTAAATTGCAGGCCTCAGTACACTTCACATGTGTAACAACTAGAGTTCAATATTTGCTTTTTTTTTTTTTTTTGAGGTAAAATTTATGTGTAGTTGAAATGCACAGATTTTAAGTGAATGATTTTTTTTTCATGGATCAAATATTTTACTTAATGCATTAATTCATGAGACCCAATAAGAGGTAATAACCAGTTCAAAGAAGAATTCAAAGAACCACAGATAGATATGCAATAAGGACCGTTGAAAAGAATTTACAAATAGATGCAGAATTAGTTATTTTCATTCACTGAACACTTCATTTGTATTGCAATAGATGAGAATCATTTGGATTATTCATTTTCTACAATGTGCACAGTTGTAAAATCGATCAAAGACAGTGAAAGGCAGAGATAACCACAGTGTCCTAAACAGTGTCTCACAATCTTGCTTGCTTTCTTTCAACATTCAGTAATTGTCAACAGTCTATTGATTGTTGGGACAGAGAGAAGGGTTATATAAAAACCAAGTAAGAAACATCACATAGGAATTTGAGTGAGGTTAATTCATCAAATGATCTTCAAATACTTGCTGCCAAAATCCAAGCTTTATCTGGGGTAACCCAGATCGTTGAGCTGTCTACACCAATTTTACTAATAAGAAAGTTAAATTCCTACTATTCCTTGGAATAGCATTGTCATCAGCCTGTCCATGGCAGGAAGGAAAGGACATGTGAACTAAGACTTTCATTCAAGTCTGTGAAAGAAAATAAGGAAGAGTAGAGCAGAAACAAGTTCTAATAAATCATTTTCAGGCACTTGCTTACACAATGGCTCATTTCAATTTCCCATTAATCTTAAGAGGTAGTTGTTTTTATCCTTGTTTATTCCACGAAGAAAAGGAAACTCAGATAGGCGATGAAATTTGCCCAGCTATAGGGATTTGACCAAGGCTCATTTTTGCTGATAAGATCCACACACTTTGCCGCATTTTAAGGTTGCAGATCTGATGAGTCCATTTATGTGTCATTTCCAGGAACTTCCAAAACGCTCTTCTTTCTCAAACTGTAGTTTTACTATCTGTTTCAACCAGTCCACAAGCAAAAGGCAAGTGTAGTTTCTTTACGTGTCTCTTGGCTCCATGTGCCTCCTCCAGGTCTCCTTCTGGCTCTCCATCCTGCTTCCTTCCTTCCTCAGTCTCCTCTCTTAAGTGAATGATTTTTGACAAAGCATACACCTTTGTAATCCAAGCTCACATCAACATACAGGATATTTCTGCCATCCCATTACCTCCTGTCCCTTCTCAATTAATAAACTATCCCCCATTCCCTGCAATATATTTTTTAAAAGATTTATTTATTTATGCATACAAGAACTGGGGTGTAAGCCAGAGGTGTGAGGGGTGAGAAGATTCACCAGAGAGGAGTGGGAAGCAGAACAGGCAGATCTATTGAAATACACTGCTGAGGGGTACAGTGGACGGGCAAGAGAGGTCTGCTGTGCCATTTGGGTCAACAACTTGGCCGGCTGGAGATCAAACTCATGCTGCAGTGGCTGGCGATAGCTTGATAGTGCTGCCTTTAACCCCTACACCTCCAGGGATGCCCTGCAATATTTTTTACCATAGATTGGTGTCACTCATTCTAGAACATCATATACATGAAATGATACAGAAGACACTCTTATGTCAGGCTTCTTGCGCTCAGCGTAGTGACCTGTGATTCGCCCACCTTGCTTTGTTGATTGTTTCTTCCTTGTTACGCTGAGCTGTAGTCCCTGCTATGGATGTTCCGTAGTTCATTCTGTCCCACTTGGTAGGCATTTGAGTTGTTTCCAGTTTGGCACTATTACAAATAAAGCTGCTGCAAACATTCTTGTGCAGGTATTTTTGAGGACATGTGTTTTCCTTTGGTTCACTGTGGGGGTACATAGGTGGAGTTGGTGCAGACCTCGGCCTGTGGCTCCCAGCCCGTTTAAATTCCAGTATGAGACACATGAGTCTGCTGTGTGGCAGGTAAAGAAAGTGCACAGTGGAGGTGGGAGTGGTGGGGTGCTGCCAGGAGAGACAACTGATCCTCCCTGAGGAGGGGGCCTGGGTGCCGAGACCACTTGCTTTAGGAGGAGAATCAGGTCACTGGGTCACATATGCCTATGTTCCAGCCCTATTTCCTTGGATCAAAAATTCTTGGGAGTCTTCCTCTTCTCATCTGTAACTTGGGATAATGACATGGCAGGGCCTGAGGAATAACCAGTGTTAAAGGGCCGGCCATGGTGTCTCTTTTGTGAGATGTGTCTCTCTTCTCCACAGGCCTGGCTTTCCTGGGGGCCTTCAATGTGGATGTGTCCTGGAACTGGGTGACACCCAAGGAAATGCCTTTCGTGCTCAGCTCCCTTCTGCACCAAGACTCCAGCACCAACCAGACCTGGTGAGTGAGGGTGGGCACATGGGGGTGTAAGGATTGCAAGTGTTCGGGGAAGCCTGAGAAGGCCCCTGAGGAGGCCTTGGCCCTCCATCCCCACAGTCTGGGGAGGTGCTACTTTCACTTGCAGAAGGGTCTGCAGGGGAGAGAGAGGTTGAGAGGTGGGGAAGAGAGGTGGTAAACACTGGTCAGTCTGGTCAACCCTGGCCCTTCTGTTCACCCTGGCCTCTCCCCTCCTTGCTGGGGTGGTGGCTTAAAAGCCATCTAAAAATAAAGTCTATTAAGCACACACAAAAACAATGCATGCTCAATCTAGAAATTTTGGACAGGGTCAAAAAATATTTTTGAAGATGGTAAACAGGAGGAGAGAGTGGTGGTGAAGAGCTGGCCGTGGGCCGGCGGGTGAGGCTGAGACGGTTTCGCTCTGTATTTGCAGCAAGGCCTCAAGCCCCAGTCCGGCTGCTCGTCTCTCCCATGGAGGGGGAGGGGCGGGGGGTGATGTAACTGCCTCCCAGCACTGTTGCAAAGGCTGCCTGAGCCAAGGCATAGAAAGGGTTTGGCACAGTTTCTAGCCAAATTAAAGCCCAATAAACATTACCTGATATTTAAAAAAATAGCATCCGTAGCCATTCAGTAGGTAAGCAACAAATTTTACATCTGACAACATGCTAGTGGGAAGGATGTGGTGGAGCAGGAGCCTGTGGGAACGGACATTGGCATAACCACCTTCGACATCGATTTTGCCGCATCTGATAAAGGTGAGGATACACATGGCCTTTGACTCAGCCATTCCACTCCCAGCCACCAACCCTAGAGAAGTTCTCAGGCACATGTAAAGGTGACTTTGCTGGGAATAGTGAAGACCAGAAATGTCCATGAGTAGCGAATGAAAGAAGTAAAGTGTGAGTCATCGGATGCAGTGAAATGAGTAGGATGGTTAACTTTTGGAACATACTGTACAATGAGAAAGGCTGGTTGTAGAATTCAATAGATGCTATAAAATATTTATGTGCTGCATCCAGTGTGTGCCAGGCCCTGAGGGCAGCAGTGAGCAGAGCAGAGGAAAGCCTTGTGCCTGGGGAGGGTAGCAATAAACAAGTAAGAACATGTGTAGGGCCTCCCTGGTGGTGCAAGGGAATAAGTTTCAGCACTATGAAGCTATCCGCAGCCACTGCAGCATGAGTTTGATCCCCGGCTGGGGGGGTGACCCACATGGCATAGCAGACCTCTCTTGTCTTGCCCGCTGCTCCCCTTAGCAGTGTATTTCAGTAGATCTGCCTGTTCTGTATCCTCTCACCCCTCATACCTCTGGCCTGCACCCCAGCTCTCATATGCATAATAATAAATCTTTAAAAAAAAAAAGAAAAGGGGCTTCCCTGGTGGCACAAGGGGTTGAGAGCAGCGCTGTGAAGCTGTCTGAAGCCTCTGCAATGCAAGTTCGATCCCCGGCTAGGGAGCTCCCCACACGGTGCAGCAGATCTCCCCTCTCTCATCTGCTGCTCCCCTCAGCAGTGTACTTCGGTCTATCTGCCTGTTCTGCTTCCCATTCTGTCTCTGGTGGATCCTCTCACCCTCCCACACCTCTGGCCTATATCCCAGTTCTTGTAACCATAAATAAATAAATCTTTAAAAAAAGAAAAAAAAAAAAAAAAGAGAATGCAGACTCGGGTCCAGATACAGCATCCAGGGAGCTCTGGGAATGCTGTCTGCATTGCATCCAGTGAGAGCGTCATACTATCTACAAGGAAGAAATTTTGCATTTTCAAGGATTTTTGTACAGAAAGCCTGGAGCGGTGCCGGTTAATGTGTCTATTTGATGTTGTCTGTGTATTGAAGAAAGTTGTTAAATTTTACCCTATTTACAGCCTTATCTTCTGGGAACTGGGCATTTGTGCAACGCCATCCTTTGAAGTCTGATTTCTATTTGAATCACTGATTTGCTTGGAAACAACTTTCGTTGCCTCTGACATTGCTTCTTAACAAGGCCAGTCTAGCTGTGCTTTGGCTCTTCGGCTCGCAGCCCCTTAGTTGAGAGGGGTACCCCTTTAATTGTTGATCTCAGTTTGCACCTTTAATCGAGAGCAATCCCTCCTCTCCCCCTTTTGTTGGTGAGGGTGGTTGTGCTTTTTCTGTGCTTGCTCTGTCGCTCAGAATGCTCAGGGCCTGCCTGAGTGGGCTCCTTCCCCACCCCCACACCCCCTACTTTACTTCTGGTCTGTGGTCAAGATCCAAATCCAGCACACATAAGCCACGAGCCCAGGTCCAGGCACGTCGGGCAGCACTGGGGAGGCGCTCAGGGCTTCTGGCCGAGCAGAGTGCCACATCTCTCTGAGGTGAGCAGGGCAGAAGCTCTGTTTGGTGGAGGGTGGGGGCTCCTGGGCAAGCCTCACAGACCCCAGCACTTGGACCATGACCTCATCAGCTGAGTGGGCCTGACCCCTTGATGCTGGGTGGCTTCCACAAGCATCGCAGAGACCGGTGACCTTTAGATGCAAGTGGTGAGAGCAGGACCAGGTCATTCATTCAGCTATTTAGCAGTCCCTACAGAGCAGATACCCGGTGCCAAGCAGTTAGGGGATGAGACGGTGAAGGAGACACAGTCCCTGCCCTCAGGTTGCTCCCAGGCTTGTCAGGGAAACAGACAAGTCAGGGAATGTGGTGCTCAGGCAAGAGGAGGTGCTCTGGTGGAGGCACCCCGAGTACTTTGGAGACACAGAGGCAAGTGTGTCCCTCGACCAGAGGATGTGCATCGACAGAGGCTTGGATTGAGTAGAAACTACTGCGAGGAGCGAAGGTGGAAATCCCTACTGAGAACAGCTTGATCAGAAGCCTGGGCTGACCTTAGCGAGGGCCGGGAACTGAGAACGTGCTGGTTGGCTAAAGCTGAGCATGGTGAGAAGTAAGCTGGGGAGGTGGGGTGTGCCTTGTCATGCAGGCATTGAGGATCTGGGGAGCCAGAAAGGTTTAAAGCAGGGTGGGGCAGTAAGAAGCATGTTAAGTTGTTGGCTGCAGGAGGTGAATTAAAGGCTGGTGTATGTTGTGCTTTCTTTTGTTTTGGTGAAGTTTCATTGATACAGACCACACCAAAAAATGTACATCTCCTGACCCTGTAGCTCGCTGAATGTTCTCAGAGTGAGCCACCTTTGTAGGCAGCATGCAGGCCAAGGACAGAAAACACTGCCGCCCCGCGCACTCGTGCAGGCACAACCCCGGCAAGAGTTAACCACTGCTCCCACCTCCACTCGCGTGGATTAGCTTGCCCGCTCTCGAACGTTTCATAAACAAGGCGCACAGTGTGAGCTGCATATGTCAGGCTTCTCTTGCTCAAACTGCAGCCTGGGAATTTCATCCAAGGCTCTGCCCAAGGCAACGATGCTTATTCTTACTGCTCGGGTTTTCCATTGTGTGAACAGTGCTGAGCACAGGTGTTTGCACAGATTCCTTGGCTGTTCTGAATGGCACATCCATGTACTTCCTTTGGCTGGACCGTGCATTTCTTTTACCAGACGCGTGCCCAGCAGTGGAGTTGTTGGATGTCTCAGGCAGTGGTCAGCATTCAGTTTTCCAAATCGTGCAGGACATGAGCATTCTGACTGCTCCTCTCACTGGTGAAGTTGGGGTGTCAGTCCCAGTTACTGGTTACCAGCAGAGACTGCCCAGCTCCAGGCCTGACACATTTCACTGCCCCTCCCTCATAAGCCAAGTGGAAAGGTGACACTGGATGTGGGGAGTTTGAAGCCCCACAGAACAGAAGGCTCTGAGCCCACTGAGGGGTAAGGGAAGAGCCTGACTGGGCTCACGAAAACCTCCCTGCACACCTGCAGAAGCAGAGGGGGACTCACGAGTGTGAACATGCTTAGAAGGAGGATGTGGTGGGAGGCACTTGTGGGTTCTTTTGCAGATAATGACGCCCAAGCCCACGGGTCTGTTGCAAAGGGCAGGAAATGCTTGACTGGTCACCCCGGCCACAGAAAAAAGACGGGTTCATCTCCCCATGCTGATGACGTCTTCATTCTCTCGTGCTGTTTCTCCCCCAGACACAACAGCTAGGGCTGGCGGTAGCATGGGCTCTGCTGCTGCGGGGGAATGGAGTGGAACATAAAGAAGGCCTTTCCCTGGGAGGCGTGGGACTAGACTCTGAGGTCAGAGACAGGTTGGAGGTGGGTGAAGACAGATGGGCTGTGCCCAGCTTAAGGTGTAATATGTGCCCTGGTGCAGCCAGCTGATTATAGGTTCAGTTATCGTTTAATTACTTTGTCAATCAATTAATTTATGACCCCAGAAGTCAAGAGACCACTCTCCATGGTGGGCAGGTTAAAGGAGTGGGCAGCAGAAGCAACTCAAACTGGGTCATAGCATGGCATGATTGTGATAATGAATGGCAACCTTGACTTTTGCAGTGTGCAACCTGTGCAGCTGTACATGGTAGTATCTTGGGAATTCACAGTCTAGGTGGGAACAAAGACTGTGCATGGGAGTGGGGCTGCAGTGGTCAGTGTTGCCTGAAGTGCTTGGAGGAGGTCAAGTCACTTGTTTGGGGAAGGCTTCCTCACTCCATCATGAACACTGGGTGTTTAAAATGACTGCTCTACAAGGAAGGAGGTGGAAGGCATTGCAAGCAGAGGGAACAGCTTGGGCGAATGCCTGAAGGAAGGAGGACGGCTGTGCTACTCCAGGATGTATCCACCCCACCAAAATGGCCTGGGATGGAGTCCAGTGAGGAGCCTATCCTCGTGGGAGAGTGGGGAATGAGGTGCTGGGCCCAAGGCTGAGGCTCAGGCTGAGAGAGTGTCTGGGGCAAGGGAGGGTTCCTGAGGTGACCTAATTTGGGGGCTCAGCTGCAGAGCCCACAGAGCTCAGCTGCACCTGGCCCTCCACCCCTCAGCCCTGTCTCAGATTAGCCCCTGCACTGCTGCCCGGCTGTCATTCACTTGTCAGTAAACAAATAGTTACTTAGCTCTTGCTCTGGGCCAGACATTGTTCCAGACTCTGGAGATAACACAGTAAGCAAGGCAGACAGGATTCTTGGGAAATGAACAGTTGAATGGTAGAAACAGATAATAAGCATATAAATAAGTAAACAGGATACAATCAGATGGTGATGACTTCTGAGAAGGAAATAAAATGGGGTGATGTGAAGCAGTATCTGGGTTCTGAGGTGGGGCTGGTTGGAGAAGCATTAAGGAGAAGGCAACAGTTAAGGGAGGCTAAGGAATGAGAATGAGCCAACCTTGGGGAGGGGAAGGTTCTAGGGCCCAGGAAGGAGGGAGACTCAGGGAAGGAAGGAGCTGGGATGGTTTAGGAACAGAAGCCAGGCCAGGGGAGCCGGAGCGTGGAGCAAAGGGGGGACGGGAGGTCTCAGCAAAGAAGGAGCTAGATGGAGCCAGCCCTGTGGGGCTCTGGACCTTGTTCTAAGTGCACGGAGGCTACAAAAGCAGCCAAGCGACTTGGTATAAATTACAAGAGTAAATTTCAAAACAAGACAAAATAACATGTAGGAGGTTGCCCTGGTGATGGTGGGTAGGTTCGTGGCCAGCGAGGGGATGCTCTCTGGTTAGAAGTTGGAGGAAGAACCAACAAGGTTCTTGATGGTTTGGATGTAGAGGTTGAATGAAAAGATGTTTTGGAGGCCACAAGTCTGAAATGGGTCTGACTGAAAGAGAAACTGGTGTCAGCAGACTGTGTTGCTCTGCAGTCTCGTGGGGAGAATCCGCTTCTATGCCCTTTTCCACTTCCAGAGGCTGCCCGCATTCCCGGACTCAGGGCCGCTTCTTCCCTCTTTTAAGTCAGCAGTGCGGCATCTTCGAACCTTCTGATTCAGACCCCTCTGCTTCCTCTCATGAGAACCTTTGTGGTTCCATTACATTATCGGACCCGCAGGTGATCCAGGATAGTCACTCCTGCACATGGGTGTCAGTGGAGATAATGATGTGTTTCCTTTTTTTAAAAAAAGATTTATTTATTTATGCATACAAGAACTGGGGTACAGGCCAGAGGTGCGGGGGATGAGAGGATTCACCAGAGACAGAGTGGGGAGCAGAACAGGAAGACTGACTGAAATACACTGCTGAGGGGAGCAGCGGGTGAGTCAGGAGAGGTCTGCTGTGCCTTGTGGATAGCTCCCTGGCCGGCCAGGGATTCAACTTGTACCACAGAGGCTTTGGGATCGCTTCACAGTGCTGTGCTTAACCCCTTGCGCCACCAGGGAGGCCCCGTGATATGTTTCATAACGTAAAAAAGAATGGAGTGATGGGAGGGGAGGAAGTGGAGACGTACCGCTCTGCTGGCCCCATCACCCAACTGTAGCTGCATCGTGACCTTTTTGAAATAGACTAATCTCATGCTTCCCCTTTATAAAGTCCTCTGTGGCTTTCTCTGCCCCCGCCATAGTGGTACTGAAACTGGTTCACTGTGACCAAGCCCAGCCCTGGGCCCCTTCTCCAGTAGCTCCCTGCTTACAAGCCTAGGGTGGGGAGCTCACTGTATCTTGGGGCAGCCCAGTCCTCACTGGGCGACGTGCATATTGAGACCATTTAGGCTGATGTTAGATTCTCTGCTGTCTCCCTGGCACAGGGTGAGGGGCAATGTATGCCTTTGGGAATCACATCTCCTGAGGCCGCTTAATCAGACTGAGGTGGCATGTTCCCCCCAGCCCCACCTCCGCACACCTCCAGCTCTGACTCAAGGCCAGGTGGGCAGACCCTGGCGGCCACTAGGAAGCCTGCACAGTCCTCAGCACAACAACGATGCTGCTAGTAGTGTCTCCCCGCCCATCCCCAACACCGTCGCCAGACAGCTGAAAGACTTTTTTTAACCACCAGTATCATCCCCTTATCTGTTGGGGGTGGGGTGACAGCAGGCAAAGGGGGATGTATTTAACCATTTCCTGCCTCCAGCAGTATAAAGGTAGAGGTTGAGAAGACACTTAATGCAAAATAAGAGTCTGCTGTCCTGGTCAGGGAGTCAGCCCGCCTTTCCCGGGGTCTGGGTTGTGAGATGGGGCTGTTGGGAGAAAGCATTAATGAGGAGGCAATAGGTAAGGGAGGCCCAGGAATGAGACCTGGTACCATCTTCATAGTTTTCTAGTGAGTCGTGGCCTGGGATGGGAGGGCTGTGTCTGGGAAGTGAGGAGAAGGGAATGTTCAGCCAGCTCAACTTTGATATCTGCCCTCCACTCAGGCTTCTGCTCACCAGCCCTAGAACCACCAGGACATCAAACCTTCTGCGTCGATGTTCCCTTAACGATGACCTCCCTTGCCAATTAGTAGGTATGTTAACCCCAGCTCTGGGGAATGGTCCCAGCACCTCCTTTCCAGGACTCCTACTCACACAGCCCAACCATTTCAACCCTGGTCACTCCACCCTCGGCCCCACCAACGCCCACAGCAGGCCCTCCATCCTGATGCCCAGGCCTATCCCAACCCAACCTGAACCCCCAGCTACCTCTTCCAAGCCAATCCTGACAACAAGTGATGCCTAGAACGTATGGAGTGTTCACCATGTGTGTCCGGGACTTGCTCATGCACCAAACTCTACCCATCCCATCCAACCTGACTCGAGTCCCACGTCTGCTGCAAGCTCTCGGCTGTGTGAAGCGGAGTCCTTGTGTCTGAGAGGTGCTATGCAGAGCCTCGGTCTCTGCTTCGGAAGGGAAAAATTTCAGGGTGACTAGATGGCCTGTGGCTCAAAAATGAGCCGGTCTCCAGAGGTCTGCACTGGGGAGGGAGAGGAAGGCACTAACGCCTCTGTCCTCTGGGGTTGTGGGCAGCATCTTCTCCAGAGTCTGTGAGAGTAGAGGGCTCGAAAGTCCATAGAGCTGGTCCCTCAGCATCTTGCACCCTCGCTAGAGCTTCTCTACCTGCCTGCCATCAAACCAGTTTCCCATGGAGAGAAGGCACCAGACCAGCTACTTCTGGATCCCCATCCCCATCTGGCACAGAGCAGACATCACGAGGCGTTTGTTGAATGAATTGGTGAATAAGCCTGGGGAAAGGCACTGTGCCCCGTGTGTATCCAGGCCTGTCCTTGAAGGGTCCCCATTCAGCTTCTAGAGGCTGCTCCGAGTGGGCAACATTTTCTCAAGGGGCCAAGGTAGCCCCATTCCCCCTGACCTAAGCTGAGTTGCCTCCAGAGCCCTTCCCTCCTGACCTGGGCTTAACTCTTTCAGACCACGGCCACATCCCAAAGGGGCGGCACCGGGGAGTGACAGTTGTCCGGAACCACCATGGGGTTTTGGTGAGTGTGCATGGGGCAGCAGATGGAGGCTTTATCCACCCCATCCAGGGAGGCTGGGGTTCACTTCTGTGCCAGGGCTGGTGCAAGTATTCCCTGTGAGCCACACGCTGACCCAGTGCCAACCTCAGCCCCACTTCAGCCCCTGGAGGGGATGAACAGGCTGTCCTGCATGGTTGAGAACTTGATTCTGGGTTGGGGGTAATGATGTGGCTGAACTGGGGGTGACCCAGCCTTTCTCTTCCTTTCTCCCCAGATATGCATTCAAGTGCTGAAAGTGCGGCCCCACAGCATCATCTCTGAGCTCACGGGCACATGTAGCCTCCTGGGCCCAGACCTCCGTCTTCGGTTTCTGCTTAACTTCCCAGAGGCCAGTGGTAAGGACTGTATACTTATTGGTATTGGACAATATAAAGCTCTCTCCTTGGGTTTCCAAGAAGCACCTGCCTAAGACAGAGGCAGAGGGATACAGAGGCCCAAGCAAGCCTAGGTTTCCTCAAGGGGGGCAGGACAGTGCTAAGTGGGGACTTGCTGGAGGTGAATGAGGAGGTGACTCTGAGTTTTTCTGTCTGTATTAAAGAAAATGTCCTGAGTCCCAATGCACCTTTGGATTCTGGAGACGGCTCCAGGGAGAAAAGAAGCAGCGGAGAGTATCCAGCCAGGTGGCACCAGACTCCGAAGGCTGAGGAGGAGGAAGGCGAGGATGAGGAAGGCGAGGATGAGGAAGGCGACGACGAGGAAGGCGAGGACGAGGAAGCTGGTGAGAAGAGGCAGATCTGGAGTGTTCCCAGAGGCTATCAGCACTGACCCCTAGGCTGGTGACCTCCAGGGGTAGGGTGTGCCCAGGATTGGGAGATGGGGAGCAGTGGCTGGCTTCTGCCAGTCTTAGCTCTTCCTCCCTCATCTCACAGATGGGGAAGTGAGGTCTGGAGCCATGGGAGGGTCTCATGCAGTGAACAAAGCCTGAGCAGGTCTGGCTCACTCTGGGTCCAAGACAAAGGCTTCACCCTGGGAGAGTCACTGATTTCCTCCCAAAAGGTGCCTTCGGAACCCTGAGCTGAGTCTTGGCAGGAGCTCTGCACACAGGACTGCTGCTCTTACTCCCGCTCCCAATTCCATGCCCACTCTCATCTGCTTCCTGTCTTGGCCAGGCACAGAAATCGCCATCGTCCTGGATGGCTCAGGAAGCATTGAGCCCGAAGACTTCCAGAGAGCCAAAGACTTCATCTCCGACATGATGAGGAAATACTCTGAGAAGTGCTTTGAGGTAGACTTCCCAATGGCTAGACTAAAATGGTCTACCATGGTCTGCTGCTGGGTAACGAACTGCCTCAGAACAACTGTTTATTTGCTCCCAGTTCTGTGAATCTGCTATTTGGGCTGGGCTCAGCTGAGAGGTTCTTCTGCTGGACTTGCCTGGAGTTATTCTTGCAGCTGTAGGCATCTGGCTGCTTGACTCGGACTGGGTGGCTTACAATGGCCTCCCTGGTCTGGACTGTGTCTCCAGAAGGCCAGACCTTCCCATGGCTACAGTATTCCAAGAGGGCAAGACCAATGCATGCAAGCATGCTTTAGATTTCTAATTGTATCCTATTTGCTGATGTCTCACTGGCTAATCCTGTAGTCAGAGGGGGACTCCACAGGGACGTGGATTCAGGAAGAAACCAATGATTCTGGGAGCCATTACTATCACACTTTCCTCCATCCCTGTTTGCTTAGGGATTTCCCAAACTTTTTCCATTGCTTTGGGAGGAAGAAGGGAGGGGACCCAAGGGGCAGGGGTGACCTTGGGCATGGTGACCCTGCCAACTTCCTTCCCATCTCTGCCCCTCCCCTCCAGTGCAGCTTTGCCCTGGTGCAGTATGGGGAGGTGATCCAGACCGAATTTGACCTTCTGGAGAGCCAGGATGTGATGGCCACCCTCAACAAAGTCCAGAACATCACTCAAGTGGGGAAGGTTACCAAGACTGCCTCCGCCATGAAGCACGTCCTGTGAGTGTCAGGGCTGCAGGAATTACTCGGGCACATACTGGTGCTGACTCGTGACCCTGCCCAGACACTCTGTAAAGAGAGGTCAGGGATCCAGCTCTTCCTTGGCTGACAAGGGATGTGAGGTCTCTTGACTGAGCCTTCGGTGATAGATGACACCCTTGGACAGTCCTCCACAAATTTTCCCAAAGACTCCTGGGAGCAGCATTAGGGCACAGGTCTCTGGGAAGGGCCTCAGTAGCCAGATAGCCTGGGTTTGGGCTTACCTCCCAGCTCTGGTTTGTACTGGGGAGACCCTGGGCAAGCTGCCCAGCTCTCTGCCCTGCCCTTTCCTCACTTGTAAAATGACAAAATAATGGTACTTGCCTTAGAGAATTTTGTGAGGGTTAAATGGTTAAATTAATTATGAAATTTAAAAATATATGTATATGTTCATATATAAATTAAAATATATACAGTGCTTACAAGTGTTAGCACTTAAGTAAATATTACCATTGCTAATTCCATCATTATTTCTACACACACACACACACACACACACACACACACAAGCACACACATGGAGAGTTGTGTGCCCAGCACTTTGTATTGGGTTCAGGTGAGGGGAAAAAGCACCTGGCCCCACTGTGTGCCAGAGGGGACATCACCACCCATCTTTGGGCCTTTGTTTCCTTGGAAGGCACCTTAATCCTCCAATTCTATCATGTCAGTGAATGAAGTCTCCCCAGAGCTCAGCTGTCCCTCTGGTGAAGTTCTCTCCTCACTTACTTTCCCCTACTAGAGACAACATCTTCACACCGAGCCGTGGCTCTAAAAAGAAGGCATCTAAGGTCATGGTGGTGCTCACTGATGGAGACATTTTCCAGGACACCATCAACCTCACAACTGTCATCAACTCCCCACAGATGGAAGGTGTTGAGCGATTTGCCATTGGGGTAAGAGCCCGGGGTTGGAGGCACTGCCTGACCCTATACAGTTTGGGGTGGGAAGGAACTGGGGTTCCTGACAGGGGCTTCTGTAAGCAGTTATTCTAACCCTGTTCTATTCACAAACACTCACCAGCTTCTCCCCTCCCAGTCCCCATCTAGTACCCCACCCACTCCCCACTGAGTTTTCCCACCCAGGGCTCATTTCCCTATATGGTCACAGCTTCTTGCCCAGCAGAGAGGGGGAGGACAGTGGACTGACTCCTGGGCACCCACAGGAAACATCAGGGTAGGTTCCTGGAGGAGCTGGTGCTGATCTGTGCCCTGGAGGACAGACAGGCGTAGTTCCCCTGGGGCACTGCAGGCAGAGGGAGCAAGATATGCAGGTGCGAGAAGGCCCTGCAGTGCTCAGGCAAACACCTGTAGATTGGTAAAGCTGGGGCCCAGAGTGTGTGTGTGTGAGAATGGGGAACAGGGAATGGAGGGGCCTGAAGACCAGGCAGAAGGGTTCTCTGCTTTCTCCCTGGGGCTGGAGAGCTCTCCAGACTTGGGAACCAGCCGGTACTGACTCACTGACCTGGGGCCTCTGTGCAGGTGGGGGAAGCATTTAACAAGACTAAGCCTGCCGAGACACTGAATCTGATCGCCTCACATCCCAGTGACACCCACGCCTTCAAGGTGAACAACTACAAGGCACTGGATGGGCTGCTGGGCAAACTGCAACAGAACATCATTCGTACGGAAGGTGAGGGCTCCTGGTCCTGGCCACTCTGTGGAGCCCCCTCAGCATTTGGCAGAAGGCCTGAGTCCTACCTCTGTCCTCTCTCCATGTGCACTCTGGGCAACTACTGTTACCCCTCTCAGCCTCAGCTCTTCCATCTCTAGAGAGGCAACAGTACCCCCAGTCCTCCTCACTCCCCCCAAGTTTCACGAAGCCCTGATGAATGGAGCTCATGCTGGAGAACTAAGCATGACGGGGAGTAGTTCTGCTCCTAGGAGCTCACAGATGAGGAAAGCGAGGCCCAGAATCAGGGCGTGAGCTCCTAGCCACTGCACTATGTTGCTAAGGCAGGATCCGGTGTCTTCTCTCAGCCTGGTGCTTGTCCCATTAAGCCCAACAGGGCGAGGCCCCTGGGCAACTTCCCAGGTTGGTTGCTCCCCACACCTCACCCATACATGTGTCTCATTGCCTTCTTGACTTCTAGGCACCGTCGGAGATGCCCTCCACTACCAACTGGCACAGGTTGGCTTTAGCGCCCAGATCCTGAGTGAGGTATGTGGCCTCATTCAGCACCAGGCAGGTTCGCCGGAGGGAAGGACCCCAGCAACATCCAGGGACTTAGGGACGCCTGGCTTCCAGGAAGGGTTCTGCCAATGGTGGCGATGCCTGGGAAGGAGCTACGTTAGGATCAAGGGAACCATTTCTGCTTGCTCGCCCTTACCTGCACCTTTGAGATAGACAGAAAAATGACTGGAGGTGGTTTTGTTCTGGTGCTGAGGACTGACTAGTAACAGGGGCTCTGGCCTGGGCAGGCTGCCCATGCTATGTGCTTCTCCCCAGTGGGGGCTCTGTCCCCTCGGGGAGGGATGTGCATGTGAGGACTCTGCCCTGAGCCCGGTGATGCACTGTTGACACCTTTGCTCATCACAGGTGGGCCTGTGTGTCAGGCGGAGGAGGTTTTTTTTTTTTTTTTTAAGGTTTATTTATTTATTTATACAAGCACTGGGTACAGTCAGAAGCGTGGGAGGGTGAGAGAATTCACTAAAGCCAGAGCGGGGAACAGAACAGGCAGACTGACGAAATGCACTGCTGAGGGGAGCAGCGGGTATGGCAGGAGAGGTCTGCGCGCCATGTGGGACCCTTGCCCGGCGGCCGGGGATTGAACCGGCACTGCAGAGGCTGCGGGCAGCTTTGCAGCCCAGAGCTCAACCGCTGCGCCACCGGGGAGGCCCAGAGGAGGTTGTTGTGCTTTTTAAAATGCTCAACCTGTGGGCCTGATTGGCTTTCTGCTCCACCGGGATTGGTGCTGGAGAAAGCCGCCCTGGCAGATGCTCAGGTTTCCAGGCAGATACCCAGCATTTGCCATCTTGCTTTCCTCTGGCACCTCTGGCAGTCAGGGGCCACCGAACACCCCTCTCTCCCCAACAAGGCTCACTGGGCTGGTCGGCGATAGGGCCTCTGGCCACAGTCGCTGGCCCCCAGTCCTCCTGCTCAGAGAGCCTCCATCCTTCTCTGCAGAGGAAGGTGATGCTGGGCGCCGTGGGAGCCTTTGACTGGTCAGGGGGTGTGATCCTCTACGACTTGCACAGCCAGAAGGGCCACTTCCTGAATCAGACGGCGGCAGTGGCCAAGACTGCGCCTTACAGCTACCTAGGTGAGGGCAGGGCCAAGACGGGGACATGGGCTGCATGTTTAGCTGCCCTGTGCTTCTTGGGGGTCGGGTGGGGGGAATGTCACACAGACTGAAGCATGGGGGATGGTTAGGAATCCCAAGGCTGAGAATTAGGGCCTCCTGGGTGAAAATAGGGTCTGCTCTATCCTGGAAGAGGGGGAATGGTCCTGGGCAGCAGCCTAGGGAGGCAGAGCCTTTGCCTTTGCTAATAGCAGGGTGACCCTTCACCCCGGTTCTTATATCCAGCATTCATGATGAGTGTGGGTGGTGATGTGTGTGAACTGAGTATGTATTTGGAGTGAAGCCTTATGTCTGGCAAGGTATATCGCATCTGTGCTGGGGCACATGTGTGAGACTGCCGACAATGGGGGGTGCGGTACTCATTGATGCTGATTTGAAAAAGAACGCAAGAGTCTCTCCTAATTTGCGCCCCTGCCCAGGCCACTTTGAAGCCTGGCTGGGAAGATGGGCCAGAGATTGGCCTAGTGGAACTCCTATTCCCCCCAGGCTATGACTTGGCGGTGCTGTACAAGGCCGGCAGCGTCTCCTATGTGGCGGGTGCTCCTCGACACAAGCAGCACGGGGCTGTGTTTGAGCTCCAGGACAAAGAGACCAACTTTGTACCAGTGCTGGAAGGAGAGCAGGTGCCTGCTGGGGAAGGACCCCGAGCCTGCATTATTACTATTGAAGATTTTGGGGGTTCCAGAGGGAAAGGCACGACTCTGGGGCACACTGTGGTGTGGGAACTAGCCTGGGCAGAGTGGTTGAGTCCCTCTGCGGTCTGGTGACCAGCTGCCTTTCCCCCTCCAGTCTCCTGAGCTCTCTGGGAGGCCCAAATATGGCATTCCAGGAGCAGGGGCCTAGCTTTGCTGAGGGGTGGGGGCGGGGGATCCCCAGCACTGCCTGTGAGCTGAGTCTCTCCTGGGCTGTAGATGGGGTCCTATTTTGGCTCTGAGCTCTGCCCTGTGGACGTCGACATGGATGGGACCACGGACTTCTTGCTGGTAGCGGCTCCATTTTACCACATTCACGGAGAGGAAGGCAGAGTCTATGTGTATCGTCTGAATAAGGTGGGAGAATCTCCATCTTTGCCAGCTTGTTGGGACTGAGGCTACTTCCCGTGCTGGGGAGGTGCTCAGGGTGCGTGGTGCAAGCGGGGGGCAGCTGTCCACTCCCTCCCTCCACTTTCTCATTGTCCTCACTCCACCCTCTCACATTGATGATGATAGCACACTGCACAGCTGCACAGCCAAGGAAGCACATGTTGTCTGCAGCCTTATTTGTTTCCTGCAGTAACTGGGATGTTGCCCAGTTGACAGATTTTTACAGATCCATTTTCCCGATGAGGAAGCTGAGGCTCAGCGATGTTGAGACTTGCTCAAGTTTATCTTGGAAGTGCATGGGAGAGCCAAGATGAGAACACGGGGGCCTCCCTGGTGGCGCAGCGGTTGAGTGCTGGGTTGCAAAGCTGCCCGCAGCCTCTGCAGAACACCCGCATGGCGCACAGACCTCTCCCCACCCGTCGCAGTGTACCGAGCGCTAACCCAGTATGTACAATGCTGATGAGAACACGGGTCAGAGGTGAAGCAGGTTTTGGGTCCTGAACTACAAGGCAGGAGACTCCAGCTTTACCACGGGCTCACAGTGTGACCTTGAGATGCCTTTTCCAAGTCTCAGACTCCCTGCTGGAGAGTGAGAACCAACCAGTCCAGTGAACATACCTCCTGGGTGGCAACAGGCCAGCTGGCACCCCCAGCTCAAGAGCTGATCTGTCCATTTGCTTTACAGGATGGTTCCTTCTCCTTGGCATACACGCTGAGTGGGCACCCTGGGTTCGCTAGTGCCCGATTTGGCTTTGCCATGGCGACAGTGGGGGATATCAATCAGGATAAGCTCACAGATGTGGCCATCGGGGCCCCCATGGAAGGCTTTGGAGCAGAAGACGACACCAGCTTTGGCAGTGTGTACATCTACAATGGACGCCGGAGTGGCCTCGCCTCCAGTACCCCGCAGGTGACCTGTAGGGCTCTCTCTTGCTTCTACTTTGGGGCTCTGACTCCCCAGGTGTAATGACCTGAGCCCCAGTTCTAAATGCTGGGGAGGGGTTAGGAGTGCCCAATGAGGGAGAGAAGTCACACAGGCTATGGGAGTTTCCAGGCCAGAGTCTCACCTGGACCCTTCAGGTGGAGGGAGAGGTTGTGGCCATATCTCTGGCCTACCCTGACCTAATGTCCCTCCCTTGCTGGCATTCCTGACCGCGCGCCTGACCAAGGCCGGTCCTTCTTCTCTGCCCCTTCTCTGGCTCCTGACTCCCATCCCCATCCCCTCCACACCCTACCTGTCCTGCCCCACGGCTCCAGTGCCAATAACTTCATGGGCACTTTCACCTGCCTGCAACTATAGGTTCTGCCCCATACCCAGCTGCCTCCTGAGAGGCTCACCTGGATGGCCCCAGGCATCTCACTCTGCTCTCTGATAGAAAGCATCCTCTTCCTCCCAGACGGCTGCTCCTCTGGGCCCCCACCCCTTCACTTTCAGCAGAACCCGGGATAGCCCCAGACACCTGGCACAGCCTTCCAGCCGTCTTGTTCTGATCATTCTATCAATAGTCAATTCCTCTCCTCCATCCCCATCACCCCTGGCCCAGCTTCCCTTGTGATTCCCCACGCCTGCCCCTGCATTCCCACCCTGCCTCAGCTCCCCATCTTCTACTTAGCGTCATCAGTAGTGTCGCTAAAGTGTAATTCTGCTCAGACACACCTGCCCTCTGCACCCAGCCCCACATCAGACCTTGTTCCTCATCCTCCTTCTAGCCCCCCGGCATTGGCCCCTGGCTGTTCCTTCAACTGCCGCCCCCCCAACCTGCTTCCCTCACTCTCACCTATCAAGCCTGCACGCCTTCCCCTACGAGGCTCCATTCAAACACCACTCCCCTGGGAAACTTTGCCCTTCTCTTTTGAGGTGGCTCCTAAATGGAGGACTCCTTAGGGTGGGGACCATGGCTGAGCTGTTGATTTGAACAAAACTGAAAGGACTCCCCTTTTCTTCTCTGGTGTCTTGTGTTTCTCCCACACAGAGGATCCCCGCCTCAAAGGTGGCCCCAGGACTCCATCACTTCGGTGTGTCCCTGGACGGGGGCTTAGACATCACCGGCGACGGTCTTGTTGACATCACCGTGGGGACTCTGGGCCAGGCAGTTGTGCTCCGGTAGGGGTCTGCTCTGCCCTCTGGCCGTGCCCGGCCACCCAGTGGCCCTGGACTGAGTGATCCACCGCAGCCCCAGGCACTGATGGGAGGGAGTAAATGCCCATTTGGGTTTGACCTCAGCTTTCACTTACTGGTATACCCTTGGATAGCTATTAAATTCTGAGTCCAAATTTTTTCATCCATCAGTGGGAATAATAGTAGTGCCTCCCTCAGCGTTATGAGGAATCATTGCGAGAATACATGCAGAATACTCAGCGCAGTGCTGGGCGGCTACTATGCTTATGCATTTCAGAGCTTCTGTGTTCATTCCCCACATGAATGTTCAAGTCCACAGCTATAAATAAGCTGGTGGAGCACCTGTCTACACCGTGTTCTCCATTAAGGTGCACACCTGGCTATTGATGTAACACTCACAAGCACCGCAAAGTTAACATGTCTAAAAACGGACCTTACCACCCACCCCTCACTTCTTAACACTCACCCCTTGCTCCCCTCAACCTGTCACTCCCAGCTTCCCAGCTCAGCAAGTGGTGCTGTTTGTTAGAAAAAAAAACACAGGCATCATCCTTGGTTCTTCTTTTTTCTTCCTTTGCCCTCCCCACATCAGCACGTTTTGTTGCCTCTGCCTCCAAAGTGTTTCCTACCATGGACCCCTGTGATCTCTGGCCTGGGTGGCTGCCATGGCCCTCATCCTTGTGGCCATGCCCCCTTCTCTTCTTCCTTCTGCGGCCTGAAACCCCTCCATGGGTTTCCCACTTAAAGGAAAACTCAAATTCCTCCTCATGGCCTGCCCTCTCCATGGCCTGGCCCTCATCTCTTGTTGCTACCCTCTCTCTCACTAATTGTGCAACGATCTTGCTGACCTTTGTGTTCTTCAAGCAAACCGAGCTCCTTCCTACCACAGACCAAATGGACCTCCTGTGCTTTCTTCCAGGAATGCAGTTCACCCAGATCTTCTCATAACCGGCTCTTTCTTGTTAAAGGGTCTCAACTTAAATGGCTCCTTATCAGCGAGGTTATCTTAAGTAACCCTTGGTCCTTGTTACCTTATATTAATTTATTTTTATCACAGCATTTTTATCACAGCACTCTCCCAGTACATAGTATTTTCCTATTGCTTCATGTTTGATTGTTGTCTGTTTTCCAATAGAGCAAGGACTTGTCTCTTTCCCTGATGTGTCCTGAGGACTCAGAACAGTACTTGCCCTTTGAAAGATGTTCAATAAAGATTCATTGACTGAGGGGCCTCCCTGGTGGCACAGGTGGTTGAGCGCTGCACTGTGAAGCTGTCCACAGCCTCTGCAGCGCTGGTTCAATCCCGGCTGGCTGGCGAGGGTCCCACATGGTGCGGCAGACCTCTCCTGTCTCACCCGCTGCTCTCCTCAGCAGTGTATTTCATCAGTCTGCCTGTTCTGTTCCCCGCTCTGTCTCTGGTGAATCCTCTCACCCTCCCACACATCTGTTCTGTACACTGGTTCTTGTATAAATAAAATAAATCTTTAAAAAAAAAAAAACGTTCATTGAATGAGTAAATCAGTCAAGCACTGACCCAGCATCCTCCGGTCACTCTCATGGTCTTTTTGCTGTCTTGTTTAGCTCAAGACCTGTGGTTCTTGTGAGGCCAACCATGAACTTCACCCCCGAGGCACTGCCCATTGGCTTCAACAGCAGCGTGAGTGTGACTTTGTGTTTTGAAGTCAGCTCTGCGACCCCGGCTGCCAAGTCAGGTAACAGTCAGTCTAACAGACACCACCCCCCACCCCCCATGTTGTGGTTGTTCCTTGTTGGCCTCACTAGGGGCAAGAAAAGAGAGGGAGCCAGGAGTGTCAGGAGGCCCTTGTGCCTAAAGTCCTATGAGAGCTTGGCTCCTTTGACATTAGGATCTGTTTTATGTGAACCATCCCAGAAAACAGTGATCTGCTGTTGAGTCCGTACCCTAAGAGGGTTCATCGGACTCTGCTGGGAAGAGGGACATTGGATCTGTACCTCAGGGTTAAAGGGTTGAGTTTCTGAAAGAAGACTCCAAAAAAGGCAGCCATTTCTCCACCTCTCTCTACTGTGCTGCTGTGCACATGTGGGGGCTCCTGAGAAGTGCCCTTCTTCCCTCTCCCTGATTTTCATCTTCTCCTCTTCCCTCTGTTATAGGATAGAGTGAGGGACACCCTGGACCACACACCTGCACGCTCTAAATGGGATCTGCCATCCGACGCATCAAGACAAAGCATATTCTAGTGCCTAAGACCTTCAATAGAAAAGAAGGAGCTTTAATATAAGTAGTCAGCAACAGAGAGAAAATTAGTGTGCCATACAGAGAAGAGAAAGGAAAGTAGTTAAAATAGTTTCCCCAAGAAACATCCAAAGTTACCCATCCCCTTGTGGGTAAATGCCCAGCCACACAGGGTTGGCCCAAAGCAGGGCTGCTGAGACCTGAAAACTTGCCACAGGTATAAGGCACCTTCTGGCGGGACCCATAGGAAAGGGGCAGAAGGGGCCAGGTAAGTCTGGAAGGAAAAGAGCAAAATCAAAATCCAAGTCAAGATAAAGCCTGCTAGTGTCGATCTCCCCACGGTCTCTCACCTGCGTCTGTTTCAAATGTCTCTTTCCATGCCCCGTGTCCGTCACTGGTGCGAACCCAAGGCCGAGAACAAGTGTGGTTTCTTTGCCTCTCTACTCCATGTGCCGGCTCCAGCCTCCCTCTTCTTCCATCTCCTGTTTCTCCTTCTGCTGCTCTGTCTTTTCTAGCTTCACCTCCCTGCCCACCCTTCCTCGGATGGGCGCCTATGGATGTCACATGTTTGCACCTCCTCTCTGTGTCTCCCTGACCCCAGAGGGATTAGGTAGTCTGCTGAGGCCTGGCCTCCCCTTCTGGCCCATTGCCTGTCATGGAATGGAAGACATGTTTCCAGAAGGCGGAGGGTGGGCATGGTTTTCACAGCCCAGGCATTCACTGCTAATCAAGAGTTTCCCTTCAGAGATGGCCCCCAAAGTTTAATCTTGGTAACAATCGGAGTACCTCTCTCTGCTCCCACAGGTCAGAAAGCACTCTCCCAGGTTGTGGGCCTGTCCACATTAATCAAATCTGGAGGTAGAACATGCCAGGCCTGTCAGTTCCAGGGACGGACTGAAAGATCAGGCCTAGATCCTGACTAGCAGCCGCTGAGCGGCTGTGTGACACTGGACAGGTGGCTTTCACTCTCCGGGCCCTGTGGTTGCTTTTTTTTTTTTCTTTCTTTCTTTTTTTAAAGATTTATTTATTCGGGCCTCCCTGGTGGTGCAAGGGGTTAAGCCGCAACCTATGAGGCAATCCGCAGCCTCCGCAGCACGAGTTCGATATCCGGCCAGGGAGCAACCCACATGGCGCAGCAGATCTCTGTCTTGCCTGCTGCTCCCCTCAGCAGTGTATTTCAGTCCATCTGCCTGTTCTGCTCCCCACTCTGTCTCTGGTGAATCCTCTTACCCCTGTACCTCTAGCCTGTACCCCAGTTCTTGTATGCATAAATAAATAAATTTTTTAAAAAAAGATTTAATAACAAATCCTTAAAAGAAATAAAGATTTAAATAAAGATTTAAAATAAATCTTTTAAAAAAGATTTATTTATTCATGCATACAAGAGCTGGGATACAGGCTAGAGATGTGGGGGTGAGAGGATTCACCAGAAACAGAGTGGGGAACAGAATGAGGGCAGACAGAATGAAGTACACTGCTGAGGGGAGCAGCGGGCGAGACAGGAGAGGTCTGTCTTGCCATGTGGGTTTCTCCCTGGCCGGCCGGGGATCAAACTCATGCTGCAGAGGCTGCAGATGGCTTCATAATGCGGTGCTTAACCCCTTGCGCCACCAGGGAGGCCCCCTGGTTTCTTTTCTGTACATAAGGGACCCAAGTAATTTACAAGGTGCTTCCAGATCTATGATCCTCTGGTTTTACTCCATGGCTTCTCTCTCCATTCCTTCTATTCTTCTTCTTCCTCTTCCCAACCTCCTTCTTGAGCCTTCCTTTCTTTCAGAGAAGGGTGAGTCAGCCCCAGGGAGCGTGCTGTTCCAGTTTGGGGGGTGGTGTACTAAAGGACTCTAGCCAAGTGCCAGGACACCCTGAGAAAAGTACCTTTGAAATGACAGAGAAACTCAGGAGTCCAGTTCCAGGGACACCATTCAGGAGCGACTTGTAAGGAACCTCAGGCAGGTGGGGGACCCCTCTGTCTGGGGGTTGCCCATCCCAGCCTCATCGGGAAGGTCTGTTCTCCATCTCCAGGGCTCAGAGAGACATTTCTGACCTTCACATTGGACGTGGACGTGGCAAAGCAGAGGAAGAGGTGGCAGTCTTCAGACAAGAGAACCGGTCAGAGCTACCTCAGCAGTTGGAGCAGTTTTTGTCAGTCCTTCCAGCTCATTCCCACAGAGGCAGATGTAAGAAGAGTCAGAGGTTCTGTGTTGTTGAGAAAAGATTTGAGGGGCATGCAAGGACGGCTCCATACCTGGAGTTAATTTTATCGGAAACCCAAACTAAAGAGATCTACTGATATGGAACACTCTGTACTTCCTAGAAGCTGGGCATAAAGAAATGCTTGATAATGGTGGGGCTCCAGGCCCTTATATGAATCAACAGAAAAAGTGGTTGAGAGAAAGTAGAAATAGCAAGACAAAAGTTATCATTTTCTTTTTTTTTTTTTAAGATTTATTTATTTATACAAGCACTGGATACAGTCAGAAGCATGGGAGGGTGAGAGAATTCACCAGAGCCAGAGCAGAGAGCAGAACAGGCAGACTGACAAAAAACACTGCTGAGGGGAGCAGCGGGCGCAGTAGGAGAGGTCTGTGCGCCATGTGGGACCCTTGCTGGTGGCCAGGGATTGAACCAGCTGCAGGCAGCTTTGCAGCCTAGCGCTCAACCGCTACACCACTGGGGAGGCCCAAAAGTTATCATTTTCAAAGATTTACTCCAACCTTTTTGCCTGATAAACCCAGAGCCCTCCTAAGATGGGTAACCAGAGCACTCACTCCGAGGAGAGCTAGCCACCATATTGTGAGGACACTCAAGCAGTCCGTTGGAGAGACCCATGTGAGGAGAAACTGAGGCCTTCCGAGAACACTGACTTGCCCGGCCTCTGAGTGAGCTCCCTTACAAACGAGCTTCCACACAGCTGCAACCTGACTAGCACTTGACTTCAATCTCATGAGACCTTGAGTCAGAACCTTGGGGCCTCCCAGGGGGTACAGGGGTTAAAGTCTCAGCACTATCAAACTATCGCCAGCCACTGCAGCCTGAGTTCGATCCCCAGCCAGGGAGCTAACACATATGGTGCAGCAGACCTCTCCTGTCTCGCGCACTGCTCCCCTCAGCAGTATATTTCAGTAGATTTGCCTGTTCTGCTCCCCACTGTCTCTGGTGAATCCTCTCACACACACCCACTCCCCCCTGCATCTCTGGCCTGCACCCCTAGTTCTTGTATGCATAAATATATAAAAATAAATCTTAAAAATAAAGAACTATCCAGCTCCAGAATTCCTGACCCATAGCATCTGTGACATAGTCGGTGGTTTGGATAATTAATTATCTGTACTAAATAATTAACCCATGTCAAAAAAAAAAATTTCCTTCAGACAAAGGTGCCTAGAGACATGAAATGTGTGTTTGTTGGTACTCAGGGCCCAACAGGACCTGGAGCTTTGGACACGATGTGATTGGGGTTGGAACCAGAAAGAGTTATGAGGCCTGAGGCTACAGCAGATCAAGGAGAGTCTCCCAGTGCTCTCACAGCTTGGTTGGAGGAAGTTTCCCTTTGGCTTAGCTTATTTGAAAGATAATTAGAGCTTCTGGCTCACCACTTTCATGATTTAGCTCACCACTTTCATGGTTTAGTTCTTGTGACTCTATCAGTGTTAAAAGTACTCTTCTCTTCCCCACGCCTGTCAGCTCTGTGAGGAGGACTGCTTCTCCAATATCAGCGTCAAGGTCAGCTACCAACTGCACACTCCCGAGGGCCTGGCGGACCAGCCTCAGCCTGTCCTGGACCACTACGCGGAGCCCTTTGCCGTCTTCCAGGTGACTCTGTCCGCAGCTAGGACCAGACCCTTCTGGGAGTCATCCCCCGCAAGTACCTGCTCCCTAGCTTCAAAGAATGTTAGAGTTGGGAGGGCTTCAGAGCACTGGGCACGTCACTGTACAATGGGGAAACTGAGTTCTGGACCTGCCCTTTGTTTCCCAGGGTTTCATTGGCCCGTCCCCAGGTCTCCAAACTACTCCCAAAGCTAGTTCCTTTATGTTCCCAAAAAGTGCCTGCTGCACATTTAATGAAGCCTACACTATGTTGCCTGGCTTGGCGAGGGTCTCTGATGACGGCATGGCAGGGTCTTGTGTGGGAACTGGACCGGAGCCAACCTGCCAGTGCTGAGAGAGGGTGCCCTTTGGTGCCCCTGCCTGCCAGGGCCTTCAGGCTGAATATCTGGCCTGCCAAGCCCGTACCCTAACAGGCAGGGAATGTCACAGGAATCTTTTCTCATAGCTCAGGGAGAAAACAGTCAGATTTCCCAATTCTGTGACCTTTAAGGTGATTTTGTTCCCACCCAGGCCCGGCCCTTAGGGTATTCTGTCAGTCTTCATTTAATGAAAGGGTCAAAGAAGTGACTTGAGCCTTAAAAAGTAATTATAATTATAGTCAGTTGGAATGAACTGAGTCTCCAAAAATAAAAAGCCAAAATTAGTTCCTGCTGGCATGGAAAAGCTTCAGGCAACATAAATACTTTTTCCAAGCAATGATAGGACACTCATGACTGTCTAATATTTTTACAAAATTTCTCTAAATCAGTTAAATTACATAAATCTTTAGCTTCAGCTTTGGTCACTATCAGTATCAGTCACAAATAGTACATAGAAATGAGAGCAACATGGTCTGTGACTGTTTCCACGCTCACCTGCCCAGGTAGAGGGAGAATCAGGTTCCCTATGTGTGGCAAGAGATTTTACTCTAAATTTTTATAATAGTATATTTATTTCATAAAGAATTAAAATAATTGCGGTATGGCAAATTAGATGGTTCACAAAAGGTTGGAAGGAATAAAGTAATGACAGTTTGTCAGTAAGTAGGTTATCACTAATTACATATATTCTGTTTTATTAATAAACATCATAACCTAACCAACTGAGCTAACTAGCCATACTTATATTCTACTTTCTTACTAAAAAGTTATAAAAATAGTCCAAAGAACTGGGCATTCTTTATCCAGATTCCCCAGATGCTAATATTTTAACGTTTGATCACATTTGCTTTATTATTCTCTCTCATATATAGCTCATTTTTAATATACATAATCCATACCATTTTACACACATTCATATTTTTGAAATATTTGGGAGTAAATTACAGACACATTACCCCTCAGCACTTAGTATATATTTCCTAAAAACACAAGGAGACTCTCTTGTATGAGCATGTTAATAAAATGGGTGAGGAGCAATGTTCTGTTTTTAGGTTAGGTGTAGAAGTCTTGTGAGAATGAGGTCTAGCTGGGAACTTAGGGTGGTTTTAGCCCTCTTTTATTGGGGTTGGGTGAAAGAAAGCAGCTTACTTAGTTATATTAAAAACAAAACTAAAAATGTCTTCCCTAAACGGTTGACCCAGACAGAGTCCCAAGCTCTCATTTCTGCAAACTGCATCTCTCCTCTCCGGGAAGTAGGTTTTCTTTCTAGTTCTGGGTTCCCATTCTAGATCCAGGTCATGGTAACAGTCCGTGCAAAAAGTTGCCGAGGAAATCACTGGCTGCTGGGTAGAGCAACACAGAGACTCCCCACTTAAGAGCTGGCTATTTCCTTCATAATAAAAGTAGATCCAATTCCTTTAGAAAATTTGTTCAAATAGCTTTGAACCTTGACTGAGTCTTTTGGGCCCCATGTGACTACTGAATTAGTTTGTTAGAAAAAGCAAATAAAAAAAAAAAAGAATTAGTGTGTTAGTATTAGGCAAGATTGTAAGGGGACTATTTAGCTCCCCCAAAAAGCCTAGCCATGGGGATAGAGGCCCCGCAAGACGGGCCCTTGACATATTTGGTTGGGTATCTCTCGCTGGTGTTTGTGCTGCTCTTGCCTCTCTTGGCTGAGCTAAGGAAGGTTTCCTTTACATAAGCTTTCCTCTCAAAATGTTCCAGGTTGTAAATATTGCCACTTAATTCACATGATGTGAAAGCTTGGCGTTCCCACCTTTCCATGAAGGCCACTGCATGTTTTCACCTTGGCCAGAGGCCTAACCTGTGTGGTATGCCTATGTCAGAGGACCAAGCACACCCCTACCCCCCTGTCTTCACAGGACAGATCAAGGACTGTCACCAGCACAGCTCTCTTGGCCGTGGGGACACAGCCTCCTCCTGCCATCCTCTCGCTCCCTGTAGCTGCCCTTCTCGGAGTCAGCAGGAAGGGACAGGCGTGTTCTCAGGGGATGATCATGAAGCAAGGCTGGTGGGGTGGACCGTCTGGCTGACCCTGCCCCTCTCTGTCTGGTTGCAGCTGCCCTATGAGAAGGACTGCAGGGATAAGCTCTTCTGCATCGCTGACTTGCAGTTGACCTCCACCATCTCTAAGTGAGTGGGTCCACTCATTAGCGTTTCAGCCATTAACTTCCTCCTGAAGACATACCTGGGGACCCCCCACATCCCCCACCACAATTGACCTCTCACTTCCTCCCTCTTCCCCTAATGACCCACAAAGAGTTTTTGGTTTACCGTCTTATTAGGGACTCAACAGTTGAGGGCCTGTTGGGGTCACGGTGGTCATTTGGTAGACTTGAACCCAGGCCCCTCGATATCCACAACAATGTTATTTTCATAACCCAGGGTTTTCTGCTGCTAGGACTACCTCAGGGGGAGGTAATCTTTCCTTGATTTCCTTCCCAGTCATATTACTTAATGAATTCTTCAACTATTTATGGAGTATCCACACTGTGCCAAGCAATCCAGTGAATCTCTGCCCTGGTGCTTTTAGGGGCAGAAGATAATAAAGTCCTGTCAGTGAGGATGTACTATGAAGAAAAATAAGGCAGGGAAGGTGGAAGGGAGTGCAGTTTTAAACTGAGGGGTCAGAGAGAGGTTTTCTGAGGTGACATTTGGTACACACGGGAGGAGGTGGAGGAATGAATCATGTAGGTTTCTGAAGGAAGCCTGAGATGGGGGCCTGTCTGGCAGGTGGCGAAGATGGCCTGGAGGTGGAGGTGGAGGTGAGGGGGCATGTGGGGAGAAGGGGCCAGATCAGCTGGCCTTCCGTCAGGGCTTTTACTGTGAGCTGGGAAGCCAGAGCAATGACATGATCTTGCTCTTTGACAAGGTCATGCTTAAGTGTTGCGAATAGTCTGTAGGGACAAAGGTGCAGCAAGGCGATGGGAAGGAGTTGTCACTCAGGTGAGTGGTGGTGGCAACCTGGGTCAGGGTGGCAGCAGTGCAGTTGGTTCTACTTGGAACTTATATTCCACCAGATTTAATAACAGGTTGGATGAGGGGAGTGAGAGAAAGAGAGGGGCCTAAGAAGTTGTGCAAGCAACCACGGGGCAGGTTCAATATCGATTCAAACAGATGGATTAAAAGAGTCCTGGAGCCCTCAATGGATTTTTCAGGCCTTAATGCTCTCTCAGGGAACCAGGTACACAGGCACTTGTGGCAGCGAGGCTGGCATGCAAGGAGGCAGGCAAGGGCCAGGCAGGGGGCTGGGGGCTGGGAGGCAGACAGCTCTCTCTGGCATTCTCTCGTGGTCTCACCTCTTCTGTAGTCACTTGTCCTCTGCTCTGAGTGACGCTGCCCTTATTTCCCTGGCCTGTAGGCTCGGGTGTGCACACTTTCGCATGCCCACACCCATGTTCCAGGTGTTTACACCACCTACCGCCTTCTGCATTAGCACAGTCAAGGCTACAGATGATAGCCACAGAGGCTAGTGGCACAAAAAGCCTGACTAATTCACTAAAGCTTTCCAAGTTTTAGCCCGAGTATCTAGGACTGTGCTGTTCAATACTGAGGCACTAGTAGCATTTGCCTATTTGAATTTAAATGAACTAAAACTAACATTTTAGTCCCCCAGTTGCACGAGGTGGACTTCAAGTGCTGAATACACACATGAGGCTAGTGAAATCTGACAGCAAGCGTTTGTCAGACCACACTGAATTCTAGAATGACGGAGGTGCCCAGAACTGAACCTGGGAAGCATTTGGAACAATGGGGAAGAACAGACTGTATCAGTTTGGTTTGGATATATGATGGCCTTAAAATGACCTCCCTTTGGTGGGAATGTAAACTGGTCCAACTATTATGGAAAGCTGTGTGGAGGTTCCTCAAACTGCTAAAAATGGATCTTCCGTATGATCCAGCAATTCCACTCCTGGGTATCTACCCAAAGGACACAAAAACATTAATTCCAAAGAACACCTGCACCCCTATGTTTACAGCAGCACTATTTACAATAGGTAAGCTATGGAAACAACCGAAATGTCCAAAAATAGATGACTGGATCAAGAAGATGTGATATATATACACAATGGAATATTACTCAGCAATCAAAAAAGATAAACTCATGCCATTTGCAGCAACAAAATGGAGCTGGAAGGGATCATGCTCAGTGAAATAAGCCAGAAAGAAAAAGAAAATACCAGATGATTTCACTTATAGGAGGAATGTGGAGGATCCAAATAAAGGATGGGGGGGAAGTAATTATAATGCAGTGAAAATCAAAATCAACAAGCAACTATAAACCAGAGACATTCTGCAGGTGGGGAGAAGGGACTAAGATCAAAACAGGGGTGGGAAGAGCACAAGGGACTATGGTGATGGTTCACGGGTGAATGGGTGGTGGGAATTTCATGGGGCTATAACTGAGATGAGAAAGCATACATTGTATAAAAATGAAGAATGATGTAAAAAATGTATAGAATAAAAAATATAATTAAAAAAATGCCCTCCTTGGCCACCAGCGTTGTGTGTACAACCTGGTACTGCTGGCTAGTGGGCCAGCATTGGCATCTGTGAGGAAGAACGCTGTTCTCCAAGTCCTGGTAAGCCCTCTCGCAGACATTTGCAGGACTTGTGTTTCAACTGTGGACGGCTTAGCGCTGCCCATCTCAATCACTGAGGATCCAATTCAAGACCTTTAAGTGCTTTGGAATCCAGCCTAACAAGCAGACACAGCTGTTTCCAACAGGAAATTAATTACAGCCAAGAACTGCCCTCCTAGCCAACTTCTTGTGAAATGGGCACAGCTGGCCCTCCATCACCCCCTAGTGTACACAGCAGTCTTGTTTCAAAGTCACCACTGAGCTTAATTCTAGTGCACTAGTCTTAGTGGTTTTTGACCTTTTTAGACACAGATATAAAAAGAATCAAAGGAAATTGCAGACCCTTCTCTCTGGACAATCACATGTGCCTCATAAGAGTTTGCATCCCGGGTCCTCTGAAATTGCTCCTAATCCCCAGTTAAGAATATGCCAGTGATCTCTTTCTTGGACTTTGAATAGTATACTGTAGTGCCAGCAAGGCACAGAGCAGGATCTCTATGATCTGGGCAGATGGGTAAAGGAGAGTCCTGGAGCCCTTGGAGGCTTTTTCAGGCTTTTATTGAGTTTTTACATCATTTGTAGTGTGGCAACCACATACACGGCAGGCAGCGGGGCTGGGGGGCCAGGAGGCTAGCAGGCCTCCTTGCCCCGTGAGTCTTCATTCTTTCCGGGCTTCTAGCATTCTCTCACCAGCTCTTCTCTGCTGCTTCTGCTGCCCTTGCTACTGCTACTGGCGTCCCCATGATGCTGCCCTTATATGCCCAGTCTCTCAGCCCAGGTGTGCCCACCTATGCATGCCCACACCCTATCCAGGTGTCCGCCATCAGGCACACGTGTAGGACCGCAGGGCTCCATCATTAATGCTAATTGAGGGAGGGCGGAAAATCCTGACAATTTTAACTTCCCCTACATACACGCAACCGACCTTTCAACCTCTCTACTTGCTGTGGTACAGGCGCCTTGCATCACAGCCCAAACTGAACTCTTCGTCTGTTCCACTCTCTGGTTTTGGCTCCACTCTTTTTTTACTCTGCTGGCAAGTAAGGCCTGACCATCTCTGGTTTCTGTCCCTTCTCTCCAGCCCCACTACGACTGTCCTATTTCTGGCACGTGTCACCTCTCAGATGGATTTCCACAGCGGGCTGTAGCTCTGCCTTCTCTCCCTGTAATCCTTCTATCCTCTTCTCAGCTATGATAACAAAATAACAAAGCACATAGTATTACTTACCAGAGCTGCATGTTTCATCTTTGAACACTTCAGTTGGTTAGGAAGTGTCCTCTGTAATTTTTTTTTTTTAAAGATTTATTTATTTATACAAGCACTGGGTACAGTCAGAAGCACAGGAGGGTGAGAGAATTCACCAGAGCCAGAGGGGAGAGCAGAGCAGGCAGACTGATGAAGTACACTGCTGAGGGGAGCAGCGGGCGCAGCAGGAGAGGTCTGCGCACCATGCGGGTCCCTCGCCTGGCAGCCAGGGATCGAACTGGCGCTGCAGAGGCCGCGAGCAGCTTCGCAACCCAGCGCTCAACCGCTGCACCACGGGGGAGGCCTGTCCTCTGTAATTTTTGCCTGTCGATCTCAATCGCTCGGAGTGGTTCTGTGCTGTGGGGCTTCACAGCGCACTGAAGGGAGAAGGGCCTGAGTGATTTTGTGGGCCAGAAAGCAAAGGCCAGGGAAGGGGCAGGGACAGTGTCTCATGCACGGCCAGTCTCCAGTGTTAAAGAGGGTATCTGGCACAGAGAAGGCACTCTGCAGATATATGTGAAATGGATGAATTTGGGTAATGAAGCACCTTGCCTAGGGCCACAGTAAATTGGTGGTACAAAGAGGAATTAGATCTAATTTTCCCAACTCCCTTTTGAAACCACAAGACCGCAAATAAGTTAGCCTCTCTTGGCTCCTGTTTCCTTCTCCAGGAAATGGAGAGTAAATATTCTATTCTATAGAGTTATTATGAGGGTTAATTGAGTAGGAGAAGCACTTAGCACAATCCCTGGCACATAGTAAGCACCAAATAAATGGTCGCAATTATTATCATCTCCCACAGGAGTTGAGGTGAATGTGGCAGTCAGGGTATTTACTTAGTTGAGGGAAGACAATCTAGGCTAGATGAATGATTTATATAGTCGATCTAAGAATGTGCTGTTGTATTGCATTGTGGTTTTTACAGATTAAATTAATTGGTAACGTGTCTGTTTCCTACCTGTGCAGGGAGAACTTGGTGGTAGGAACAGAACAGGACCTGGTCATGAACGTCAGCCTAGTTAACTATGGGGAAGATTCCTACATGACAAGCATGACTTTAAATTACCCCAGAAACTTACACTTCAAAAGGATACAAAAGGTAACTGTGATGGCAGTTTTTTTTTTTTAAAAAAGATTTATTTATTTATTTATATAAAAAGCACTGGGTACAGTCAGAAGCGCTGGAGGGTGAGAGAATTTACCAGAGCCAGAGCGGGAAACAGAACAGGCAGACTGATGAAATACACTGCCGAGTGAAGCAGCGGGCACGGCAGGAGAGGTCTGCACGCCATGTGGGACCCTCGCTGGTGGCCGGTGATTGAACTGGTGCTGCAGAGGCTGTGGGCAGCTTCGCAGCCCAGCGCTCAACTGCTGCGCCACCAGGGGAGGCCCTCTGATGGCAGTTTTGAAAGCATGCCACCCCTGCCTTTCTCTCTTCTCCTGCCTGATTCTTTAAGACTTCCTCCCAATGGACTTCCCTGCCACCAGCACCATGCTTGTCCATCTAATCAATAATCATTAACTAGACGAATCCCCAACAGTCCAACTGCATGCCATGGGCCCAGCCACACTACTTTCTGCCTTGGCGACCTTCCATGGGACCACTTGGCTGCAGAATCGCCACCTCCCTGCCTACAGTCTTTCTCAGCCAAAATTCCAAGAGACAGATCATCTTTAATAAATTAGCTTGGGCTGGGACAATAAAAATCAGCCCTGCCATTTATCAGCTGGGATCACAGACACAAAGGCAGTTAGTTGCAAGTTACTATGAATCAGTATTTCTCTCAAGGGCCCCGGCAGCTAAAGGTGTTGATAGGGGGAAAGGATCTCTTGAGTTAATTTCATACAGGCTTTGTGGACTCCACCCCCACTTTAGACCAAAGCCATGAAGACACTGGGAAAGACAAATTCCATTACCACCCAAGGGAAGGTTGCTGGACCTGAGGGTGGAGTTAAGCAGTCAGGTTTGGTATAAAAGCAGACACGTGGGCCTTGGGGTCTCTCTCCTCTTGGCTTCACGGCTCGTGGCTCACGGCCAGCTCTCAGAGTGCCATTGGGATTCTAGGGCAGCGGAAAGGGTAGGACGCATTTAAGACTTTATTTCCCTCTTTTCTCCCTGAGTTGTACATTTCCTCATTTCCCTTGTAAATAAACCTTTTATTAACCTTTTTTATGTGCCTGCAGTTGAGTATTAATAAGTCCCTTTTAAGCGCGTGGGTGAGGACCCACAGTCAGGCAACCTGTTTTATATCTGGGTTGCCCTGTAACAGTGTGACGACACAGATTTTGTTCTGAAATCACAGTCCAACAGAGACTTCACTGCTTAAAGTTAAACCCCTACTTATGAAACCCTCTCACTCTTGCCAGAGAGTCTAAGTCATTTGAAGTGAAGCTGCCTCAATTCCCTCTGAAGCACAGAGCTTCAGATGAAGATTTCCAGACACAGCTTCCACATCTGTCTTAGCAGTTTCCAAGGAATGGGCCCCTGTGTCCTCACCTCAGTGCAGACCTGATATTAACTGGCCCCTTTACACATGGGTCTGCTTTGCTTTGAGCCTCTCAAAATACTGCTTCATTTCCATTTCACTGGACTCCACCCTTCCCCAGAATGCTAGTAACTCTCCCTTTGTTTGGTGAGATACACTATGGTGTGGGTTTCCTCATTGCAAGGAGTTAATAATCCCACCTTTGTCAAACTACAGGTTTCTCGCTGGTGGCCTTGATGATCTGGGCTAGGACAGCATACATTGTATAAAAAGCATGAGATGACCCCATAGCCATCTCCAGTGGAAAGAGTGAGGTACCATCCTTGGAAGAATGAAAAAAACAGCCACTTAGATCATTTTCCATATTCAGTGGGGGCAAGGAAGCGCGGGTGTGAAGGGCTGCAGGCAGTGCTGGCTTCTCCCCATCGTGGGCGCTACATTTGCATGGGCCCAAGTGCAGGCTCAGTCTCCTTCCCAGGAAGACTTTACAGACTCATCCCAGTTAGAATTGATCTCTTTCTCTGAAGCTTCTCACTGCCCTGCTTTCACAGACATTTTAGGCATGGATTTAAATCCCTCAGCTATCTACTACGATCCCTCTTGCCCAGCTCATGAGGAAGACAGGGGTCGAGGCTGATGAGTGTCCCAGCTCCTGGCAGGGTACCTGGCATGTGAATAAAATCAGTGAATGTTTAATTGGTATGAGGAAACTGCTCCTCTCCCCTTTTAAGAATAGTGTCTTCTGTGTTCACAGACTCCTTCTTCAGACATTCAGTGCACTGACCCGAAGCCAGCTGCTTCCGACTTGGTCATGAACTGCAAGATTTCTCACCCCATATTCAAGAAGTCATCTGTGAGTCTGTTTTGACTGGCTAACTTTTCTCACTACCCAGGGGTTGGTGTCTTCTACATCCCAGGCACATTGGAGTCTTCTGGTTGTAGTTTCGACTCTTCCTTTCACTCTACAGTCAATCCCTAACCCTGCTCAAAACTGCCAAGTTTGCTCTGAAAGGAGGGAGTGGTGGGGTGGGGGATACGGCTCTCTCGCCAAACTGCTGGCTCACCCCAGCACAGCAGAGTGAGTTGGGGGTAGTGTGGAAGGCACATCCCTCATTAGTCCCGAGGGGAGTCCCTGACCTGGCAAGGATGATCTCGGTGCATCAGGAAACCTCTGGTTTCCTCCATCATAAAAAGGTGACCTCCTCCACCCTGCTTCCTCTGTATGGACCTGGTGAGGCTCACATGGAATAAGGGATGCGGAAGTAGGCTGTGCTACAAAAATGTGAGGATTATGAATGGTGTTTCCCAGTCTGTTTCATAGTAGGAAGCAGTTAAGAAGTAGTGTTAGGGGGAAAGGATGTCCTGAGCGAACTCCATACAGGCTATGTGGACTCCAACCCCACTCCATCAAGACACTGGGAACTACAAATCCCATGATCACCAAAGGGAAGGTTGTGAGGACCTGAGGGTGAAGTTAAGCAACTATGTTCTCTGTTTTGAGTATTTAACTGGCCATGTGGCCGGGGGTCACTCTCTTGGCCACCAGCGTGCTCGGTGTTTCGCCAGCTTGGCGGGTCATTGGGATTCCAGGTCAGCGGAACCACTTTCAGGGGTAGGACGCATTTACACACTTATCTCCCTCTTTTTCTCCCTGAGTTATTCATTTCCCCATTCCCCCTTCCCTTGTAAGTAAACCTTTTATCAGCCTTTTGCGTGTGCCTGCAGTGTAGCATTAGTAAGTCCCCTTTAAGCGCGCGGGTTGGGACCCACAGTCAGGCAACCCGTTTTATATCGGGGCTGCCCTGTAACAGCTGCAGTAGGAAGCAGAACTGCAAGTGGTAGAAGAATCAGTGACTTTTTAAAAAAATGTGTATTTTCTTACGATCATTGTTCATTTTTGTACAATATTTGATTTCTCCCCTCACATGCAGTCCCCGTAGTTCTCCCACCTCTGCAGCACATGTTACCCATCACCACAGTCCCTTGTGCTCTGCCCTCCCGTTTTGACCTCTCTCCCTCCCCCTCTCCTGCTGTATGTCTCAGATCTATGGTCAGCTTAGAGTGTTGTCTTTTTCCTGACCTGGAGGGGATAATCTAAGCGAAGTAAGTCAGAAGGAAAAAGAGAAATATTGGATGGTATCACTTATAGGTGGAACATTGGGAAACTGAACAAAGGGTCAGTGACTTTTTTTTTTTTAACGACAGGCAAACATTTCAGTAGCGTGGCAGCTAGAGGAGAAAGCCTTCTCAAAAGGGACAGCCAACATCACTGTGACAGTCACCAAGTAAGTAGTGCTGTGTCACAGGGCGCCGAGGAAGAACTCTTTCCATGCGCCTGAGGAAAACGGTCTCCCTCAATGCCCAGGAAGGTGGGAACTTCAGTGAGCCCACAGATAGCACCTGTACCCCTGCAGTGTTTTGCTTTCCCTTCCTGTTATCAATGATATCTAAGAGGGTCCTTTATTGACACACAAAGTGGAACTGTGGTATAGTCTGGTAGAACGAGCCTGCGGCTGGGATTCTAATTCTGGTCCTTTTAACTTCAGAAAGCTCTGTCATCTGCAAAACCTTTATGTATGTTTGGGGGACAGGGGAGGTAACCATGATGGGAAAGTTCTCAAAAAGGGGTGATTTTGCTCTCCCTAGCGACAGTGCCTAGAGACATATTTTAAAAATTGCTATGACCTGGGGGAGGCTGCTATTGGCATCTAGTGGGCAGTTGCTAAATGTCATACAATATATGACTGAGTTATCTGGCTCAAAACGTCAGTAGTGAGAAACCCTTTTAAAATCACTGTTTCTCCAAGTGTGTTCCCCTAGTGATTCTTCTGTATTCTAATTGCTTATCTCCAAGAGTTCATGATTTCTTATTAACTTTGGTTTGTTTCAGGTAGTTGACATTATAATTCGCTATCTGTACATATTCCAATATGATCACCTAAGTTTAAATTTTGTTCATTGCCACACAGTTGACCCCCATTTCATATACCCCCTCCCCCAGTCTCTGACTGCCAGTGACCCTGGGAAGCCAAGGTTCAGAAGCAGCCATATGTACAAAGCAGGTGTGCTGTGAACTGACACTCTCATTTTTTAGTTCCAATGAAAACAAGTCTTTGGCTATAATGACCCACAGCCTTAAATTCAAGCATGGCTTCACTGCAGTTCTTCCCAAGTAAGTATGATAAAGGGGCCAACACCTGCAGGATAGCTTCAGCGTTCTCTCTTGTGGATGGAACTGTGGTCAGGGTGGAGGTGAGCATAGCCTTTCTCTGAGGAGGCTGCTTAGAACCCAGGTGCCCACTGATATCCAGGCCACTAACAGTTGGGTCCTAGTATCATCAGAACAGTATGAACTGGTCTTGCCACAAAAGGGAACTGACATGATGCTAAGGAGGGAAGGGAGGGGTTGTGGGATTGAGAGGTGAGGAAAAAGTAAAGTCACTGAGGAATAGACACAAAACTTGCCAAAGTATACAGAATTCAAATAGCTCACCTCATCCCAGTTGCTCTGCCACCACTTTCTATTTTGAGTTTTAATTCCTCTTAAGGGAATGGTGCCTTCTACTGTATCCCATCGGCAGCATTTAGGCTCGTTTTAAATAAGAACGGGGCTTTGAGGCTAACACAAGTCCGCTCCATTGCAGACCATCAGTGATGTACATGAACACAAGCCAGGGGCTTTCTGACACCAAAGAATTCCTCTTTAATGTAAGTGCTTAATGCGCATCCCTGGAAAGCTACAAGTGGTAAAACACCACCAGCCTTAACTTCCCATTCTGATTTTATTTTGCAGATACAAGGGGAAAATAAATTTGGCGCCAAATTCCAGCTGCAAATCTGTATTCCAACCATAATACAAGGTTTCCAGATTCTAACAGTGAAGAATGTGACAAAGACTCAGGTACTAATAAGTGGTTCTTTACTCTTTCATCTCTCCAGAATGGTTATATCCATCTCAAAAGCACCAAAAATAGAGTGTGGAAAAGGAGTAAAAACAGGATTAGTTAACCTGGGAACACAACAGGAGTAAATTACCACAACCATATTCAGAAGGACTATCCAACACAGCATTTAAAACATTTGGTTTTCCTTCCCTTGGTGAAAAATAAGCAAAAATTCAAATCATCTTTTATAGCTATGGAGACATTTATTTTTCCACTGAAAATTGTTAAGTTATGCTTGTGATTGGCAAACTAGCTTGATAAATATATGGTGTTTCTCGAACTTCTCCCTAAACATTGCCTACCATCTCCCCTTTCCTCTCCCTCCAGTCTTGTCTTTTTTGGTCTCAGCTTTACTATAGCCTGTTTTCTCTTCGGTTGACATCTCAGAGCTCACCAGACACACCAGACACAGCAACCAGACACGCCAGCCTCACCAGACACAGCAACAGGCTCTGGTCAGTATGGCAAATGAGGCCTTGGGCTTCCCCGAACTTTACTTTTGCACATAAAGTGTCAAGACTCAAAAATGAAAATATGGAATTTGCAGCAGGGACTCTGCTAAGTGAGGAAAAGGGCTTACAAGTTGTACACACTTGCTCTCATGTAATTTATTTCTAAAGAACATTTGTTAACAGGTTAAAACATTTCAGTTTCTACTTGGAAGCAAAATCCTTGTTTGAAAAGCTGATTAGAAACATGTTAAGAATGGAAAAATTCCACTTTGCTCTGGAGATGGAGATGGAAAATAGCAACAGGATCTTCACAACTAGTACTTGCTCAGTCTGGCGTAGTAAGGCACCTTGGGCTTAATTAAACAGACTGTGCTGGCAGAGCAAATCCGTGGCAGAACTGAAGTTCAGCATTGTCTTGTGGAAATTCTGGATCTTTCTCTTCATTTGCTTCATGGCAGGCGTGTTCTTCTTCTTGAAGGTCATTTGTTTCAGAACCTTATCTGTGAGGTAATGTAGCCAGAGGACATTATTGTAAGGGTGATATTCACCCCAGCAGTTGTTGTTTTCTTTTCTCATTAGCCTGTAGATCTCAAACTGGTAGTCACCTTCACCTGTGAACAGGTCCTCATCCATGGAAATGTCACAGAAGACTACAATTCCATCCCGTTCCAGGCGCGAGAGGGTGTAGTCAATGATGTTGACTTGTAGCCCAAGGGTGGGGATAGTGCTTGTCTTTCCGTTGAGAGTGTACTGGAGCTCCCGGAGGCTGGTTTTCTTTAAGAGCACGTTCCCCCAGTGTAAGTCTCGGTGCTCAAAGTGCAGTGAGGCCTCTGCCACGGCGAGAGAAGCTGTGATCTGGTGTAGAATGCTCTTTGCAGTACCCAGGGAGTTCAGCTTTTTACTCATTTGCTCTAAGTCAGTCCCTCCAAACTCAAATTCCAGCACAATGAAAAGCTGGTCTTCCTTAAAAAAGTCAGGCCGGTTGTTTGCAGAGCCTTTGGTTGAGTTATAGTTATCCCAGGCTCTGAGGAGCAAGGGAGGGTAAGACCCTTGAACACAGTGCACCGAGTTCAGCCCAATAAAGCCTTCTGTGCGATTGGTTACCTCATCAGCCAGGAGGCTCAACTCTTTGGAGATGATGATCTCTGGCAGGATTTCCTCAAAAGTTTTCTGATGGGTTCCATTGACTAAATCTGGTCCTTCAATAGCAATGATTTTTAGGGCTACAGGTGTGTGATTGACATTTATTTGAAACACTTCGCCGAACACCCCCTCCCCAATCTTCTCACAGTTTTGTAGTTTTTCTCTGGGAAGGCAATAGCTAAAGGGGATAGGACCTTCCTGGTTGCATTCCCCATAAACCTTTTCAGCATCAAATTCCTTTTTATCTGCAATATGTAGTGTCTTTAAGGGGGTTAGCAAATGCATGGAAGAGGAGTGCCAAGGGGACATAGCCCTGTTTGTTCTGTCCATGACAGGAGGGTTTGCATATTCTGCTATGAGGGACCCTGGGAGAGAACTGGCAATGCTATTGCTGCTGCACACCTCTGACACAGCAGTGACAATCTTCTTCTTGTGGAAACTGAAGGAAGCTCTGGCTTTGGTCCATGGGCAGGCATTCAGCATAAGAGTCAGGTCCTGGATGCCGAGTGACTCATTTGCCATCTTCTGGGGTTTTTCAGACCCGTGGTAATGGAGGGAGGTTTCCTCTGTCTCTTGATGCTTCCTTTTCCGTCTTGGTCCTGTTCTCTTAGGCCTGTTGGTTTCCCCAGGTACAAGACCGCCCCTGCAACCATTGGCCTCCTCATATTCTATCTGGATAGCCCCTTGAGACTCAGTCCGTTGATACGAGCCCTGGTTTGTGGTCCGACTCTTACAGGTGCTTGATGAACCTGGAGTCTCCGGTCTCTTTCCTAACAGTTTCCTCTCACAGCAAGAACCCCTCATATTCTTCCTATCAGTCCCAAACTCCGAATCCTCAGAGTTTCCTGAGTCCACAGAACCAAAGAGAGCTGACCTGAGGCTGGCACGGGCTTGAGAGGCCAACCTGGCGAACCTGCCTCCTCCTGTAGCTGCGTCCTGGGAGCAGGGGAGAGGCGATTGGTTCAGGGTGGCTGCCGGGAAGTGGAAGTCGCTCGAAACTTCCGAGGCTTCATCTAGAGAGGCGGAGGGGTCCATACAGATGCTGCCGTCTCCTGGCGCTGGGGACCCAGGGCCGGGGCCGGGAGAGGCCGGAGAACTGAACAGGGAGGCGCTGGTGCCCAGGTCGCCGCCGTCCCTGGGCTGTCTGCTGCCACTGAGGTCCCGGCTGAGGCGGCCCGGGTTACAGCTGGGGAAGGGCGGCGGGCCGAGCGGGCCGTAGGGGGTGCTGCACTTCAGCGGGGGCCGGGCTCGCAGCCTCCGGCGCTTGGGAGTCACGACCAGGCTAGGCTGGTCCCGGGCGCGTCGACTCCCGGCGCGCGTTCGCCGTCTACCCACCGGGCTGCAGGAGAAGTCGGGGTCGTCAGGATCATCGGAGGCTACAGAGGACGAGGGGCCGCCGTCGCTGCTGCTGCTGCTGCTGAACACACACTGCCGGCCCTGCGGCTGGAACCACTGCGCGGCTGCCCGGCCCGGCCGCCCCCGCGGCTCCCAGCCGCCGGCAGCTCCGTACGTTCGGAAGAGCCGACTCCTGGGTCGCGGGAGTGACGCCGCCATGGCCGGCGCCCGCCCGGACTTTCAAACGCAAACACCGCGAGACTTCGCGAGACGCAGGCGCGCCCGCCGCCCGCTGGGTCCTAGCGCCCGCCGCCCGCCGCCGGCCCGCCCGCCCTCAGGGTCCTAGCGCCGCGGGCTGGCGCCAGCCTGGAGGAGCGAATAAGCGGCAGTTTGCCTTGTTCATTGCGTGTCGGGAATGGCTCTCGTTGCAGGCCTCCACGGAGTGCACCGGAAGTAAGGAGTGCGCTTGTGGGAGCAATTCGGCTCAGGTGAGCTTGGCTGTCCCGAGAGGCCGAGGGAGGGGGGTGGGCTTGGAACGGGTCGTGAGGGTCCCGGCTTCTGCTTCCCCGAGGTCCCCCCACCCCGCCCCTCCTCAGAGCGCTCGCTGGGGGCCCAAGACAGCACCCCCCACTTCCCCGCCTTAGCCTCTTCATTGAGTCACATTTGCCAAGGCTGCGGCTTTCTGTGCCGTTAAAATTTCCAGCTTTTCCGCACGAAATAGGATTGTGCTAACTAGATTTGACTTTTCTAGAATGTGGAAGGTTGGCATTCAGTGAGCTGTGACGTCAGTTCGGATAAGGACAATGTAACCGTGATTGCAGAGTTCTCCGTGACTAAGCGGGTAATGCTCCAGATTTAGGTAGCTGCTCAAACCTGTTTCTAGGACATCTTCCCTAGAAACGAGAATGGCATCTCAAAAATAACAACCAAAACAGGTCTCTGACCCGCCTTCTGTCCCAACCTGTTGTTTACCCAACCATTCAGGGTAACTTAATAGGATAACTTGCTCAAGTCACTTGCTAGGAATGACTTGTGACCCCTCCCTTACCTGCATTCCCATGTCAATTTCAGCAGCAAGCTCAGCATTCCAGCTCCAGATTAAATCCATTCACTTCTCTCCATCTTCCTTGCTACTGTTGTAGTTCAGGCCACCGTCTATTAGACCGTTGTAGTGACATTCCACCTGTTCTTGCCAAGCTCCCTACATAATACCTGCATTTCTATTTTAAACAAACATTGTGCACTTCTCTGCCTTTATTTTCATGTTAGCATTTGAATGCACTCACTGATATCCATACTTTTTTGGTGGCCCCTGTATGGTACTGCACAACCAGATCTCTGCACACTTCCTCCCCTTCATCTCCAACTACTCTCTTCTCCCCTGCTTGTTATATCCCTGACACGCCGCTAGTGGACGCTGCTTACACTGTTCTGGCCTTTCTACTCCACAGCTGGCCAGTGTGCTGGCCACCGGATTTTTGTACTTGGCGTCCCTTCTGCATGGCAGTGCGCTGTCCCCAGATCTTCATGTGTGTGGTTTCTTTCTGTGTATAGCTCAGATGTTACCTTTTTAGAGAAGTCTTCACTGATCACTCATTCTAAAGTGGAAAGTGCAAGTGTAACATGTTACAGTTACCCAGATAAGAGTGATGACATCTGCACTGAGTGAGCAGCAGTGGGGATGGAGAACAAGAGACAGTTGCAAGGGAGGTTAAAAAAATTGTAAAGGATTGACATGGGACAGGTGATTGGGTGTGTGGCATGAAGTAAAGTGGCTTGGGTAACTGTGTGGTTGCTGAAACCATTAACCTGGCTGAGGAACTTTAGAAAAGGGACATATTTACAGGGTGAGATGGTGAATGCTGTGCATAACCATGAAGTCCGTGTCTAAAATATGTTTTCCCCTCCCCCCTTCATTTTTATAGTTACTAGCAGATATAACTGAACTGCAGATCCTTGGTGAAATATCTTTTGACAAAAACCTGTATGAGGAGCAGAATGGAAAGAACAACAGAACTACGGTAATCCCTGGCTGTTTCCTGGGGAGTGGCCTAGAAAACATGTACCTCACTTGTACTGCACTCTGCAGCCTTCTCTTCTTGTTGTCGGTCTTATCACCTCTGATCTTGACTCTGCCACCAGATGTTTCTGCCACCCTCTGTCACTTAGTTTCTGCCTCAGTTTTTCCATCTGACGGGGAGCAGTTGTATAAGAGGGCTAAGCTGAGGTAGCTGAAATAACTAGGGCTGGAATCAACAGCTATAAAGACTTGGATATGAAAATGTATTGCTTTTTTAAACATTTTCCTAAGTGAGAAATTCTATTTTTGTATACATTAGCTCTTTCTGGTCAGTAGTATCAGTGCTTAGTTCCAGCAGTTAACAGAATATTCAGCAATGCATCATTCTTTTGTAAGTCTTAGACTAAGAATTCTTGAGATTTGCTTTGCAGAAGTATGACCCCTAAGTCAAGCTGATGTCTGTGATCTGTGTGCTGAATGCTCCTTTGTGTGCTGCCCTGACTTCTCTCTCTATTTTTTTTAAAGATTTATTTTATTTATTTATGCATACAAGAACTGGGGTGTAGGCCAGAGGTGCAGGGGGTGAGAGGATTCACCAGAGACAGAGTAGGGAGCAGAACAGGCAGATCTACTGAAATACACTGCTGAGGGGAGCAGCGGGTGAGACAGGGGAGGTCTGCTGCACCATGTGGGTAGCTCCCTAGCCAGGATCAAACATGTGTTGCAGTGGCTGCTGATAGATTGGTAGTGCTGAGACTTAACCACTTGCGCCACCAGGGAGGCCCATTGTCATTCTTGTTGCTGACACCTAGCCATGCAGCTGGCTTCAGAGATGGTCAGCTGTGAGCCCTTTGGTTAGGCGTGCTCCATTACCACTGGGAATGTCAGGAGAGCAAGACTGGATGCTAAATATTAGGTCCGCTGATATCCTCCTTGGAGGAGGAGAAAAGAGCAGTTCTCTAGACATGTCAGAAATCACATTTCCTTTTATTTGTAACTATTTCTAATATAGAAAATGATATGGAAGAAATAGAAATGCCCTATTGCCCCACTGCCCAGGTTTTAAAAAATAGAAGTAATAGCAAGGAAATGTAGACCCTCCAGAAAGAGACCAAATGGGAAATAATGGTCACTTCACTCCCTCCTTCCCACAGCCCAACTCCCTCTCCCCAAAGGCAGTTACTCTTAACAGTTCTTACATGTACACTCTGAGATAATGTATTTATATATTTCCTCCTCTTAATGATTTCAGTAGCATCCACCCCCCCCCAAATTTTCTTTTCTTTAAATTCAATACCCCAGGCAGAGTATTACCTAGTGCACTGACTTACAGTGAATCTGTGTGTATGAAACTGCTGTGTATCCAAGTGCATTTCAGCTGCAGGTAATGGAGGACGCCACTAATGGACCAGGCGGACCATTGTTTACCTAGTGAGGAAGGCAGGTTTGGATTCCTAGGCTTCTTCCTTTGAATCTGTCTCTGCGGTCTTTGCGTTGGTGAGGCCTTCCCTTGCGGCAAGCACAAAGTTGCCACCTCTCCTAGAGCTCTATTTTCACATGGCACCATACAAATCAGGAAGCAAGAGATCAGTAGCAAAAAGACTTTTCTTCATGTCCTTCCCTTTTCAGGGAGGAACAAAATGTTTTCTTAAAAATCCCCAGCAGGGCCTCCCTGGTGGCGCTGGTGGTTGAGCGCCACACTGTGAAGCTGTCCACAGCCTCTGCAGTGCGGGTCTGATCCCGGCCAGCGAGGGTCCCACATGGCGCTGCAGACCTCTCTTGTCTCGCCCGCTGTTCCCCTCAGCAGTGTATTTCATCAGTCTGCCTGTTCTGCTCCCCACTCTGCCTCTGGTGAATCCCCTCACTCCCGCTCATCTGGCCTGTACCCCAGTTCTTGAGTATAATCTTAAAAAAAAAAAATGCCCAGTAGACATCTTACATCTTACTAGTAAGGACTGGATCTCATGGCAGTCAGTGGCAGAGGCAAGTAGCTTTATCATGATTCACTGAGAGTGGCCTTGATTCCTGAACAGAATCTAAGGGGAGATGGTTACTATGGGTCAGGCACTGTGTTGGTGGCTGCAAGCAGGAGTGCCCTGTGTCTTGCTTCTCCCTTCTCTACCAGGACAGCTTTGGGATACTTTAGGGGACCTATAGTTTTAGAAGAGAAAAAGGACAGGAGCATTTCTTCTGCTCAAATCTGACCTGCTGCACCACTGTCACCTCAGGACTTCCATCCTACACCCAGCCTATCAAGCTCTTCCCCTGCTTCTCCACCTTCACTGGTCTGTAGAATGAAAGGGAAGCTCCCCTCCTCTTCTCTCCTCTTTGCTTCCTCCCTGTTCTCATTCCTATTAAGTTTGGCTGCAAATGAATTAAAGAGAGCCGGCCCTCCCTGGTGGCGCAAGGGGTGTCTTAACACAGCACTGTGAAGCTGTCTGCAGCCACTGTAGCATGAGTTCGATCCCTGGCCAGTGAGGTGACCCACATGGCACAGCAGACCTCTCCTGTCTCACCCGCTGCTCTCCTCAGCAATGTATTTCAGTTGCTCCATCTGTTCTGTTCCGCACTCTGTCACTGGTGAGTCCTCTCCCCCCACCCCCCGCACCTCTGGCCTGTACCCCATTTCTTGTGTATGTAAATAAATCTTTTAAAAAATAGTGCCTCAGGGGAACAACCCTAGCTGTCTATTTAACTAGCTATGCTAACTTAATTGGAACAGGCCTCAAAGGTTAGTTTGTCCAGCCTTTCACCCCTTACAGATATTTTCTTTAAAACATGCCTGTTCTTAGGGCTTAAACATATGCTTGAAGGGAACTCAGTGTTCTGGGCAGGCAGAGGAGTCTGGATGGCGCTCTGGCCCTGCTTGAGTCCTGAGAACATGTTACGGCCTTCTGCTGGCCAGAGCTTGGGAAGGCTACATCTATGCCTTCGTTGGGAAGAACATCCCCTGAGCTTTCCTCCTGAGTCCTGTCAGTGACAAGGGAGGCTAGGCTTTTGAAGTTGAGAGAGCCCTGGACAGCAAAACTGGACAGCTTCTAATGGAAGAGTTCTGCAAGCAAAAGACCTGGGGGCCATTTAGCATTTCTTATCATGTCTCTGAGGTAACATGTACTTCAGTCTGATGAAGAGCAGACCCAGTATCTTTGTCGTATATTTCCTGTGGGGAAAAATGTATTATCAGACTCCAGGGGCTTGTGCAGGATCAAAACAAGCTGCCAGATCAGTTGGAAAGGACTTGGCCATCATTTAAAATAGGCCATCATTTTGACTGTGATGAGCTTGGGCTCAAGGGCATTGATGTCATAGCTGGATAGAGAATCTTGATTTTCTGTTTTTCAATGTCCTTTAAAATCTAGAGACCTTCACTGCTTGGCACATTTATTAAACTGTCAGAAAATCTTTAACAGAAGGTCACAATCTCCTGACTTAGCGCTTCTAGGAAGAGAGACCAGAACAGTTTATAGAACTGAACTGTTTTGTGGTCATTGCAACATTTTATTGTGCTCTATTTTTTTAATTCTCTTTTTTCCCCAGTTTTCCTGCTCTTTATCTTTTGAGGATTCCATTGATCAACCCAGAGATTCTTTCCTCAGCCGTGTCTAGTGCACCAGCGAGTCCATCAGAAACATCTTCACTTCATCTTCACTTCAGCGACTTTGTTGTTTCGCCTCTAGCATGTCTTTTTCTTTTTAAAAGACATTTATTTATGCATACAAGAACTGGGGTACAGGCCAGAGACAGAGTGGGAACAGAACAGGCAGACTGACCAAAATACATTGCTGAGGGGAGCAGCGGGCGAGACTGGAGAGGTCTGCTGTGCCATGTGGGTTGCTCCCTGGCCGGGCCTGCGATTGAACTCATGCTTCAGAGGCTGCGGACAGCTTCACAGTGTTGTGCTTAACCCCTTGTGCTACCAGGGAGGGTCCTGATCACCAAACACAATGTGCCAGGTAGAAGGAGCTGCTGCACACGGACCTTAGGTCACGTGGTGGCGGGTGTGGGGGGCGCGGGAGCAGTCTGTCCTCCTGTGATCAGCTCTCTCTTTCAGTGGGCCTGGGCCTCTGAACTGTGAACTTTACAACTCTTTCTAAGGTTTTCCCAACCCCCTTAGAGGGGACAGGAGAGCTAAAGTGGGCTCAACTTAGATACTCTCCTCCACCCCACCCCTACCCCAGTTAATCTGACTCTGATAATAACTCAGCAGATTAGGCTCTGGTAAGTAATTTTGTTATGAAGAACGGAGTATCCTGGTGTATTTCAAAAATGATTCCCATTTGCCTCCCCTTGCTGGAAGCATGAGGGGGTTTTACTCTTGATATTTACTGTGGGAACCGGGTTGAGCTCTTGAAGGTAAATCTCACAAAGTGGTGGGGGCCCCTGTGACTGAGAGTTACCCACACTGAGCTCAGCAATTCTTCACTCACAGTCCAGGCTTCCCTGGCCCTGGAAAGCCGCTATCCCCTGTTCTCACCTGTCTGCCTTTCCAGGTTTGGGGGCAGTGGTTACTGGTGTCCGTCCCTCTCTGTGGATCCAGCAAGAATTGGGGACTTTTTAGTCTGTTCAGCTTTTTAAACAATTTTTAAAAATTTATTTATACAAGCACTGGGTACAGTCAGAAGCGCGGGAGGGTGAGAGAATCCACCAGAGCCAGAGCGGGGAGCAGAACAGGCAGAAGGACCGAAGTACACTGCTGAGGGGAGCAGCGGGCGAGGGGAGCAGTGGGCGAGGGGAGCAGCGGGCGAGGGGAGCAGCAGGTGCAGTAGGAGAGGTCTGTGCACCATGTGGGACCCTCACCTGGTGGCCTGGGAGGGGATCTAACCGGCACTGGGGAGGCTGCGGGCAGTGCTCAACCACTGCGCCACCGGGGAGGCCCAGTCTGCTCAGCTTTTTACTTAGCTCAGGTGGTGACTTCCAGCCTCCTTACATGCAGAGCTGGATAATGGAAGTCTCATTAGATAATTTTAGATGCTGTATCTAGAATGTTTAGCTTTTTGCTTTACTGTTACCAGTTTTGATCAATACACAGACTGTTGCCAAGTTCTCATATTTTGCTCCTTAAAACAATGTTTTTTCCCCTCATTTGCTTTACCTGACTTACTGGATGGCCTCTCTCTGTTTGTTCTAGATCACCGTCATCTTCCTGAAAAATGAGGTGTACCTTTCTTTGCCTCTCATCATTGGAAGCAGTGTTGGGGCCTTTCTGGTCTTGATTGTCATTATCATCATCCTGGTCAAGGTCAGTTCCTCTCGTGTTCATAAAGGGGAGAGGCCGGGCCCTGGCGGGGGCGCTGTGCTCCTGGGACAGCCAGCCCCTGAGGTGGCAGCTCCCCTGTCTTGTGGCCACCTTCCCCTCCCTTCAGCCACACAGCACCTTCAGCCAGATGAGTAAGACAATTTCTGCTTGAAAATGCAAAAATCGGGCCTCCCCGGTGGTACAGCGTTTGAGCGCTGGGTTGCGAAACTGGCCGCAGCCTCTGCAGTGCAGGTTCAATCCCCGCTGCTCCCTGGCTGCTCCCTGGCTGCTCCCTGGCTGCTCCCCTGCTGCTCCCCGGCTGGTCCTGCCGCCTGCTGCTCCCCTCAGCAGTGTACTTCGGTCCTTCTGCCTGTTCTGCTCCCCGCTCTGGCTCTGGTGACTCTGGTGAATTCTCTCACCCTCCAGCACTTCTGACCCAGTGCTGGAAGGAAGGAAGGAAGGGAGGGAGGGAGGGAGGGAGGGAGGGAAGGAGGGAAAGAAGGAAATGCAAAAATCTAATTAAAGTATTGGAGTACAGTGAGATTTTTCCTAAAACGGATCTGGTTGCTGTTCCTCTATTTAAATCCTTTCCTTTTCTTGCCCTGTTTTAGAATTCAAGCTCTGCAACTCCTTTACCCCATTCAGGATCCTCCACTCTCACCTCTCACCCGCTCTCCCTCTAATTCTTGCTTTTTTCTCCAAGCCATGTTGGGCTGTTCCCTGAGTAGGTCCGTGTCTCTGTGCTTGCAGCGAAGCTGTTCTCCTCCCCCAGCTGAATGCCCTTCTTTAGTTTCTCACCTTGTCCACATTCTTCCTTCCAGACTCTGCCAGAGATTCCTGAGGCCGCTGGCAGGAGTCATGTGCTTTCCCGTGAGCTGCCTTCTGGAAACCCTTCCAAAAGGCAGTCGTCACACAGTACTGCGCTGTTTCTCTTCCTAGTAGGTTGTGAGTTTCTTGCTGTAGGAGGCCCTCCTGCTTGATCTCTTTCTACCCTCAGCATAGTAAACTGAATACTTTCAATAAGTAAGATCTGGTACAGCTGAAACTACTTAGTTATGTGAAAAGGGTTGAAGTGCTCTGGGGGTTCAGAGGAAGGCGGGACTTCTCACAGGGGAGTGGGCATTAGGGAAGACTTGGGGAAAGCCTGGGTTATCTGGGAGCGACTCAGGAAGTGTGAGGAGCAAGGGAGTATAAGGGGCTATTTCAGCAACATCCAGATAAATGGTTTTCTAAAGCTGATGGTTATCTTCAGCCTGTAATTGGCTTTCCTATTCCTTTGTTTTAGTGTGGCTTTTTTAAAAGAAAATATCAACAAAAAAACTTGGAAAAGATAAGGAAGGCCCAGATGGAGTCAGAAAACCTGCTCACAAAGGAATACTAGGAGCCTCCCTGGTGGCGGAGGGGTTAAAGGCAGCGTCATCAAGCTATCCGAAGCCACTGCAGCACGAGTTCATTTGATCCCCAGACGGCCAGGGAGCTACCCACATGGCACAGCAGACCTCTCCTGCCTCGCCCACTGCTCCACTCAGCTGTGTATTTCAGTACATCTGCCTGTTCTGCTCCCCACTTTGATGAATCCTCTCACCACCTGCACCTCTGGTTCTTGTATGCATAAATAAATAAATCTTAAAAATAAATAAATCTTAAAAAAACAAGAAGGAGTACTATGGCCAGCTTCCTCAGCCATGGTAAGAGAGCGTGACCCTGTCCTCAGACTTCAAGAGACTTGGTGTCTCACTGGCTGCTTTTTCCTGCAGGATGGTCTAGATTAGACTCTAACAGTTGTTTGTAGAATATTGTTTTTTAACCATATGTTGCCCCCAATATGTCTGTATTCTGCAAAAAATTAACTTGGTAGCCCTTTGGTGTGTGTAGGGGCAGGAAGGGAACAGAGCAGGATCTCTATGATCCGAGCAGACAGGTGAAGGAGGAGTCCTGGAGCCCTCGGTGGCTTTTTCAGGGTTTTATTGAGTTTACCAGGTACATGGCAGGGAGGGGGGCCAGGGGGCCAGGAGGCTGGCAGGCCTCCCAGCCCCCGCTGAGTCTGGCATTCTGCTTCTCTGCTGTTCTCCTGGTCTTCTGTTCTCTTTCTCACTTCCTTCTTGTGGTTCCGTTCCCTGTCACGCTGCCCTTATAACCCCTGTCTCAGCCCAGGTGTGCCCACCTACGTGTGCCCACCTACGTGTGCCCAAACCCTACCCCAGGTGTTCACCGTCAGGCATACATTTAATCTAATGGCGGGAGGGCAGAAAAGCCCGATAATTACTTAACTTACAGAGTTAATGTTAAACTGTTTTCTGTGCAGAAGCACCGTTAATATGCAAATATAACACAAGCTGACTTTCCCCCCCAAGGGGAGTTATATAGCATTTCCAGTCTTGTTTCCTTTGTATGCTTTTTTCCTTGCCATGTCTTTTAATGACTCTCAAAATAGTGTTCTGCAAAGTACTTCTGGGGACTGTGGTCAAATGTGATTCCTAATTTGGTATTTGCAAGGTCCTAATGTTACAGTGATAAGAAAATACATTATTGAGCAGATGAATATAATAAAGATTCCAGCAGAACTTCCAGCCCAGGTGCAATGAACCTCCAATGCAGGTATCATTAGCAAGTTTGCTTTCTTAGAGCGCTTTCCCTTTGAAGATTAATGGCCAGGGCCTCAGCATTTCTATCTAAATAAAGTCACATTTCAACAGGGTTGGGTAGCTGGCCAAGCTGGTCTATCTCTCCAAGGCTATACCCAAATGCCTGCATCTTTCCCCCTTTGCCTGCCCCCACCCCCCACCAGCCCACCCTTCTCTGGAGACTTTGCAGCAAATGGTTGTGCCTGCTGAAAACTGATGCTATTAATGTAAGATAGTTGTTTATAAAAGAAACCGTTTGTCTTTAAACAGGTGCTCACACCTTACAGGGCTACCCAGGTCTGGGACCTCATGCATGAGTAATAAAGCTTCTCCTGACCTCACCATTCCTGAAGTACTGCTTGTTCTTCCCCTGCCTGGGTACAAGGCCAGAATTTCTACAACAGGGCAGGGAGAGGGGCATCCCAGAACCCCAAAATCTGCCTGCTCTAAATAGGGTCTGCCATGTGCCACATCAAGACAAAACATATGAGACTCAAATGGCAAGGAACTTTATACAATTAGCGTGCAATACAGAAAAGACAACATAGTTTTCAAATCAAGCACCCACAGTTACCCATCCCCTCATGGGTAAAAGTCCACCCAAACAGGGTTGGTCCAAAGCAAGGCCCGAAAGCCTGCCACAGGTCTAAAGCACCTTCTGGTGGGGACCCATGGGAAAGGGTCAGAAACAACCAGACAAGTGTAAGGGCAGGACTGGACACAGAGCAGGTTTTCTGATCAAGCGGACCGGGTGAAGGAGGAGGCAGAGTCCTCAGTGGCTTTTGCAGGGATTTACCCAGTACATGGCAGGCAGGGGTGCTGGGGGGCCGGGAGGCTGGCAGGCCTCCCAGCCCCCAACAAATCCGTACTCTCTCTCTCTATCTGGGCTCTCCAGCGTACTCTGCTTCTGCTGCTTCTTCTCGGCTTCTCTCTTGGCTTCTCTTTCAGCTTCTGCTGCTGCTGGCGTCCCCGTGACGCCGCCCTTAAAAGCCCAGTCTCAGCCCAGGTGAATCCCATCTACCTATGCCCACACCCTACTCCAGGTGCCCGCCATCAGGCATGTATTCAGGACAAGGATCCATCATCTATCCTGATGGCGGGAGGGCAGAAAACCTGACATTTTTCCTTACCCTACAACAAGTCTGGGAGGAAAAGAGCAAAATCAAAATCAGGATAAAAGCTGCCATTGTCACCTCCCCACGGGTGTCTCACCTGCATCTGTTTCAACCTGTCCAGGACCAAGGAACCAGCACAGTTTCTTCACATGTCTCTCTGCTCCTTGTGCCGCCTCCAGGTCTCCTTCTGGCTCTCCATCCTGCTTCCTTCCTTCCCCAGTCTCCTCTCCAGCTTCTTCTCCTCCCTGCTCAGCTCCACCTTCCCTTGGGTGGGGCAGGGAACCTGGAACCTCCTCTTTTCCTGGGGACCACGCTGTTATACTAAGATGTGGCCTATTTAAAGTCAGTCCACAGGACACCCCCAGAACAAGTGTAAAATGTAGAGAAAAGGTGGTCACCAAAACAGGAACTAGGAAGGAGAGAAAACCAGGACTTTGTTCTGCTGTTTTATTTCTCTTGTAAGTATGAACAAACCTATTCAATACACTGTGCCAGTCCTCACCTGGCTTCTTGCTTAGCAAATAGCTCAGGGAGACTTTTGTCCTTTAATAAATGTTGTCACCAGGACTCCTTGGTGGCCCTAGGGGTAAGATGCAACCTATGAAGCTATCGGCAGCCACTGCAGCACGAGTTCGATCCCTAGCCAGGGAGCTACCCACATGGCGCAGCAGACCTCTCCTGTTTTGCCCGCTGCTCCCTTCAGCAGTGTATTTCGGTCAGTCTGCCTGTTCTGTTCCCCACTCTGTCTCTGGTGAATCCTCTCACCCCCTACACCTCTGGCCTGTACCACAGCTCTTATATGCATAAATAAATAAATCTTAAAAAAAAATGTTGTCACCATGGGAGAGCACTTGTTCACAGGGGGAGAAGAAACCTGCTTGGGAGTTGGGGGTACAGAGATGAAGGCCTAGTTACTGCCTAGCTTTGCTCTTAGTCTTTTTACATTTTTATGTTTCATGCATTACAAACTTGATCACATCTCCCTACTCCTAAGAACAATTTTTGTTTTTGTGAATTATAAATGTCATTGCAAAAGATTAAGCAGTGAAGACATATATTGGGTTGTTGGAAAAGTCATGATGTATTTTTTCTAGCAAAAATGTGTCATGACTTTTCTGACAACCCAATATAATGTAGAAAGTAATCCTTGTGATCCTCTGGTCGTCTTTATCTATTTTTGATATTTTCATCATTATTTCTTTTAAATTTTATTTTTTCCCTGAACATTATATGTGTATTAGGTGTTAATTAAGGAATTTAACCTGAGTATTTTATTTTCCAGAACGTAACTGATTTTTATAGCACCACCCACACTGTCCTTACCCACACTCTGTCTTATTCCCACCATCCCCGTATCCCACCTGTATCACCAGGGCCTGAAGGCTTTAACCATTTCCCAGAACCCCCTGCAGTGGGCTTCTAGTTTTGGTTTTGCCAGTGAGAGGCACTGGTATTGGACCAGAAGGTGGAATGATGGAAGAAGCGTTTCTTCCTGTGGCAGCTATGGGTCCAGGTTCCCTTGACAGTGTGGGCTTCACAGTGGTGGTGGCCCCTGCAAAATTTAGGTGACACCAGCTCCGCAGTTTTACTCCATAAATTTGAAACTTAACCTCTCTCTATTAAGTACTTTCTGCTTGAAATACCTAGAGTGGTTTCTGTTTACCTGATGACCTTAATTATTATTTCCAAATGAATAACAGTTGATCTCTAGACTGTTCACTGAAATGTTCATGAATGATTTAAAATTTTGTTACCATTTATGAAATTCATATATGAATATATATAAATTCTGGAAATTTAGTTTTATTTTTAATATGTTTTTGTACCAGCAACACAATCTGAAGGAACTCATTTTTTAGCACTATGCAAATAACAACTCAAAAAAGCACAAAGGTATTAAAAATTGAGACATGTCTCCCTATACCTTCCTTTCCAGCTCTGAGCTCCCTTTCCAAATGCAACCATGATTAGTAGTTTCTAATATATGCTTTAAAATATTCTTATGCATATACCAGCATAAATTTAGAAAATATTTAAATGGTGTAGGAGTGTATATAGTGTTCTACACCTTGCTTTTTCATCTAAGAGACTTTAGATATTTTTCAGTAGCAACATCTACAGATCCACTCCATTCTTTTCAGCAGCTCCATAATATATGATGTTATATTTATTTTAACAAGTTCCTACAGGTGGATATTTAGGTTCTTTCCATTTATTTATTACAAAGAAAAGGTAGGACGAACATCTTTAAACATGTCCCTTGGTCTGTTTCCAAGCATATCGATGAGTAAGTTCCTAATACAACTATTGTCTTAAAGGTTATGTGCATTGATTATATTTTTTCAGTTAATGCTTGGTTTTAGTTTTTCAGATTCCCCAAAGAGACACATTGGGCTTTTTTTTTTATAATGAATTTTATTTTTATATTCCCCATACAATTGCAACCCCCTTATTTTGACCCCAATCCCTCCCCTCCCCACCCCCACCCCCCAAAGAGTGTCTCTGGTTCATAGTTTTTTGTTGATTTTGAGTTTCACTTTCTTATAGTTATTCATTTTCCTGGTCCCTTATTTAAGTTTTCTAGATTCCTGCTATGAGTGAGACCATCCGGTATTTTTCTTTTTCTTTCTGGCTTATTTCACTGAGCATGATCCCTTCCAGCGCCATCCATGTTGCTGCAAATTGCATGTGTTTATCTTTTTTGAATGCTGAGTAATATTCCATGGTATATATGTACCACATCTTCTTGATCCAGTCATCTATTTTTGGGCATTTGGGTTGTTTCCAAAGCTTAGCTATTGTAAGCAGTGCTGCTATAAACATAGGGGTGCAGGTGCTCTTTGGAATTGATGTTTCTGGAGACACATTGGGCTTTAATTTAAATGAACAAGCCAAGGTGGATATTGTCTTCTCATTCAGAAATATATCTCCCCACGGACTGAGGTTTCGTTTTTTAAAAAAAATTATTTATGCATACAAGAGCTGGGGTACAGGCCAGAGGTGTCGGGGTGAGAGGATTCACCAGAGACTGTGGGAAACAGAACAGACAGATTGGCCAAAGTACACTGCTGAGGGCAGCAGCCGGCGAGTCAGGTGAGCTCTGCTGGGCCGTGTGGGTTGCTCCCTGGCCAGGAGGCCCCATGCTGCAGTGGCTGCGGACTGCTTCATAGGTTGCATCTTAACCTCTTGCACCACCAGGGAGGCCCCACTGACTGAGGTTTTTAAAAAAACCCTACCGCAAGTTTTTATCATTTCCTTCAGAGTTCTTAATTTACAAAGGCGTTCTACACAACTCATGTGAAAAATGTCTTTCCCTTGACTGATTCTTGAGTTTCTGTTTAGAACAATTGGTTATTTTGAATGTTCTTTGGCTTCCTGCTGAACTTTTTTGTTTTAAGTCAGCTTCATTTTATTTTTAATTCATAATGCCCATCTTCCCTATATAACTTGAAAGTAAAAATAATTATAATTTATGTGAGTGGGAATACAATATATAAAGTTGTAATTTGTGAAAATAGCAACAAAAGAGAGACAAATTAGTGTATTGGAGTAAAATTTTAAAGTAATATTGATGCTAATGTAGTATTAATTTAAAGTATTTTAGTATAACAAGTTAATTAAAATACTAAAGATAACCAGCAAAAATAATTAAAAGTTACAGAAATGATAATGAGAAATTAGTTAAAATAATACACTAAAAATTGAGACATGAAGATGTCAGTATTGGGGAGATTTAGGAACAAAAATATAATTTCAGGAAAAAAATACCATATTGTTTTGATTACTTTGACTTTGTCATCTTGTTTGAAGCCTGGGAGGGTGATAGTTTGGTTCTTTTTTGTTAAGATTGCTTTGGTTATTTGGGGACTTCTGGGGTTTCATATAAAATTCATTAATGTTTTTTCTATTTCTTTGCAGAATGTCATTGCAACATTGATAGGGATTGCAATGAAACTGTATATTGTTGTGGGTAAGATGGCCATTTTGACAATGTTAATTCTTCTGTCTACGAGCAGGCAATATCTTTCCATTTATTTATATCTTATTCATTTTATTTTAGCAATGTCTTTTAGTTTTCATTGTACAGGTCATTCACATCCTTTGTTTAGGCTTTTCCCAGGTATCTCTTCCTTTTGAAGCAATTGTAACTGGGATC